TGTGGTAAGATAGGACACATTCAAACAGTATGCAAAGCTACTATTCATTTTGCCTCAAGTAGTACTAAATCTTGTAATTTAGATCCCAATAATTCAGCTGTTCCTAATGATCATTTATCTTTGTCTACCATTTCGAAGGGTAATACTCATATTCAAAAACGATTATATACATCGCTTGGTTCATGTCATGACTTTATTGTGGACACAGGCAATACAGAGTCCATTATTTCATTCAAAAACTTGAAATCTTTAGATCCTAACGTTGTGGTACGCCCACTGAGGTATCAATATTGGGGATTACTGGACACAGACTGCCTATACGAGGATGTTGTGAGTTGCTAATAAGAGATGATAATTCTCCATACATACCTTGTGAATTTTTAGTTAGCGAAACAGGACTGTCAATACTGGACTTAAGGAATTTGAAAAGGCTTAAAGTAGAGCTGTCTTTCCTAGTTTCTAAAGAAAATAATGATGCTTTACTCAAAGATTTGATAGCCACGTGTGCTAAGTGCAGTGGACGTATGAAAATTCAGCCTAGAAAACTTCAAGTACAGGGTGAACCAGTCTTTCTTAAAAGACGAATAATTCCTAATGGTCTTCGAGATGCAGTACATAAAACATTAAACGATTTGTGTGCAAAAGGCATAATTGAACCGATTCAGTCTTCAGCATGGGGTACTCCTATTGTTACGCCACTGAAATCGGACGGCAAGACTCCTAGAATATGTGGTGACTATAGTTTAACACTGAATTCCCGTTTGTTGAAGCAAACGTGCACGACGGTAGAGGCTGAAGATATTCTAAATCGACTTCATGGTTCTGAAGTGTTCTCGAAAGTTGACCTAAAAGATGCTTATCTTCAAATTCCTTTAGATCAATCCTTACTATTTTGACGACAATTAACACTCCTTTTGGTCTGTTCAAATACAATTTCCTTCCGTTTGGTTTAAGTTGTTCTCCAGCTATATTTCAGGAAGTTATGAATAAGGTGGTTAGTGATCTTGAAGGTGTTGAAGTTTATCAAGATGGTCTCATTGTTCATGGTTCTGACAAGGTAGTTCATGAACAGAGACTTATTGCCTTATTGCGTCGTTTAATTGAGAAGAATATTACAGTGAATCCAAATAAGTGTTCATTTAGTGTATCTAGTTTTGAATGTCTTGGATACCTAGTTGATGGTAATGGTTTTAGACCAGATATGAAACGACTAGCTCCACTGACAAATGCACCGTCTCCAAAAAATCTTACGGAACTACGTTCACTAGTGGGTGCTCTTCAATACTATTCCCGTTTTATTCCTAATTTTTCTTGTCGTGCAAATTGTTTATTTAATATTTCGCATCCAATTCATTTAAATGGGGTGAGGAACAAGAGTCATGCTTACGTAGTCTACCAAAGTTTCTTCAAAGTGATGCTGTTCTTCGAACTTACTCCCCTAGTGTACAGTCTGTGCTTATCACTGATGCATCACCTGTGGGTATTGGCGCAGTTTTGGAACAGGAGGGTAAACCAGTTATTTGTGTTTCACGCAAACTTACTGTTACTGAACAAGGTTATTCACAGACTCAGCGAGAAGCATTAGCTGTGTTTTGGGCTGTTAAAAGACTTCATAAAAATTTATTCGGAAAAAAATCACTATTGTTACTGATCATGAGGCTTTAAAGTTTATTTATTATCCTGAAAAATCCTTAGCACGTTCCTCAGCTGCTATGGTTCAACGATGGAGTATTGCTTTGAGTGCCTATGACTATGCGGTTCAGCACAGGAGTGCCAAACGAATTCAACATGTTGACTACATTTCTCGACAGTCATTACAAGGTAAACCTGTAAATACTTCAGACTGTTTTTTAGTGCAACCTTTACCAGTGAAGCGTCCAGATCTCATTAGAGAAACTCGTAAATACTTTGGATATATAATTAATGCTATACGGAAAGGTCGGAATGCTAATCTGAAACGTAGATTTCCTATCTATTTTTCAAAGCGGGATGAGCTATCTACTACTCCTGATGGTATTTTGTGTTTAAATGATCGTGTTGTTATTCCTCCTTCATTGCGTAAATCTGTCCTAGAAGATCTTCATAGTGGATATTTAGGTGTTGAAAAAATGAAGTCATTGGCGAGGCTCACATGTTGGTGGCCAGAGATAAATGCAGATATTTGTCGTACAGCAAACAATTGTGAAAAGTGTCATAAGCTGAAAAATCAGCATTCGATGTGGACTCCATGGCCAGTATCGTCTGAGGCTTAGCAGAGAATTCATGCAGACTATTGTGGTCCGTTTCTTGGCAAATACTATGCGCTTGTAGTTATTGATTCCTTTTCAAAGTGGCCTGAAGTTTATTTCACAACTTCACCAAATTCTGACTTCAAAATTCAAGCATTAAGAAAGGTGTTTAGTCGAGAAGGGGTTCCAATGGTGTTAGTGAGATGTTTGGAGTCTGCAGAAGTTACGTATTATCGTGGCAATGATCTTCGACCATCCACGGGGATTGTTCTGAAGAATGTCGGGAAATCTATGGTGCGACTTCTAGATATCAATGACTTTATTACACACAATCGACATGTTGATCAAATACAATTCCAAGAACCAAGTGAGTCTGTTCCGATTTCAGTTGTTAATTCTAATACTAATGAGTGCATTCTAGATAATACAGAGTCTATCCAATACATTGTCGGACAGACACAGTATGAACTTGAGGAGAAGACGTACAATTGATTACAGACACTTGGACTCTAATTTAAGCTGTGGCGGATGTGGTGTTTGAATGAACTAATGACTCCTTTGTACTTGTTGAATGTTTGATTTCGAAGTCTAAATACAGTACACTCGTTAGTGCTTGTGTAGTATTTCTTGATTTAATTGTGTTATCCCTGGAATTCTTAGTTCATACTATAATTCAATTACTCCTAATTATCATAGGTTTTCGTGAATTAGCAGTTCCTGGAGCTTTGAATTCATTGCTTTTCCGATCCCTTTCATGTTGTTTTTCATGGTTATTTCCTCTTTTTTAAGTAGATCGTACAGCGCTTCGAACCTACTGCTGATAGCTATCTTGAATACATTGATCTTGACCTTATCGGGAAGGAAGTCACTATTAAACCTTTATAATAGCATTTCTTTCAATTAATGGAAATGTGATCGTAAGAAAAACGAAGATATAAAAGCAATTGTTTCGATTTCGGTTTTCGAAAATTCTTAGAATGTCCTCTCTTATGAACCATCTTACATTAAAGGAAAAAAGACATATTAATACCAAGATTATCGGACATCATATGGTCAGTCAGCACTAAACCACCTTATAAGGTACGGTTTGTTTTTCGGAAATTGGTAGGGATATGTCAGTTTGTCTTCATAATATAGGTCCTTCATCCGAATTCTAAATTTAGCCTTAAAAACGCCAGAAATAATACCTAGGACATTTTTTCGCTTCGAGCATGTTTTGTGTGCGGTAGGATCAATACAATAGCACATCTTGTTGAGCCAATTTCGCATTCATAACATCTTATTCCTACCACTACAAGCAAGAATTAATTCAGTTATCCACAAGTCAATAGTGTTATATTCCACTAAAAATAGAGTACCACAAAACGGATTTAGTGAAAACTTCAAACAATAAATGCGATAATTCATTATGCAATGAAATACCTTCATAATCGCAAACCAGGAACTCAGTGAAAATATGAAAAGCAGTTGGCCCAGTCTGTAACCTAATCGTCCGAAAGAATTTTCGCTCGAAAATTACGGAAAATCTATTCAGCGTTACATTCTCAACCTAATTACGGAAGTGACAGGATCTCAGTTGATATAGGATGACAAAGAAAAAGCAGAATCTGCAGCAAATAATTTCGCAATCAGGAGCTTTCTCTGGGTGAACTAGACCCAAATACGAAGTCCGCTTACTGTGAATTTCGATCGAGACGATGTATTTAAGGCTTAAATTGTATACAAAAGAACTACCAAATATAGTTAAGTCTCTAATGCCACTGCACGCTGATGAAGTAAAAGCCTGAAGAGAAACAACAGGAGACGCAGATGCAGAAGCATTTCAGGCCGACGTAGATATTCTGATTAGCTAACCCAGAAAATGTCTGATGCCTGCCAACTCTGCCAAGTGTTTGTACATTCACTTTGGGGACAAAAAGGTAACTGAGAGTGCTTTTATCCGTGATCGGGTCCTCAAAAGATCTAGCGATTGCAGTGAGGCATAAACTTAAAACAATGGTCTACTGCCGTGACGTTTCAGCCAAGGGGTTTTGAACCACATATGTTTTAGGGCGGATATTCACCTAGTTAGATACTACTATGTTTGCTACAGTACACACAGCCTTATTGAGATCCAAGCTTGAAAACTGCGTTCAAGCTGCAACCCCCTGTTTAAAAGGTGGAATCCCGGAACTCCGGGGTTTCCCATATAAAGAGCGGCTTGAAAAGTCAGACCTCTTAACTCTGTTCTACCAAAGATCAAGTGGTGATCTGGTTTTAACTTATAGAATACCAAAAAATGATTTTGGGCACGACATATTCTCTTTTTTTCTTCCCTCCAGATCGTGACACCTTAGAGGACATAGCAGGAGAGTAGGAAAGCCAAGAACAAACAAAATACCCGTGACATACATATTTTCACACCGAGTCATCAATTATTGGAACGTATCACCCAAAGCGGCAGTGTCAGCACCTTCAATTGACTTACTCAAAGAAGACTGGAATCTCACAGAAGCATACTAGAAAAGGAATAACATAGGCCGTGGGCCATCTGTCCTTACTACAAAAATCTGAAAAGCACGTCTTCTGCATTTTGGTTGCAGAAAGAACGTTATAATTATCAAAGTTACATTTGATCTAGACACAAAAATTAGAAAAATGGGTTCTTAATCATGCATAGTGAATCTGTTAAGCGAAAGCTTCTTCTATTCCGTCCGCAACCATTTGAACCATTTGTAGTTTTTATTCACTAGTGGTTTTATCTTGAAGGTCACTGATGTTTAGTTTTGGTTCATGGGGTTGTTTACTATTTTGAAAAAGCTTAAACAGAAAGAGAAAGAAGTCAGGGTGTTAATATTGTAAGCAAGAAAGTGAGAATAAGCTGTTGGCAAAATCATTTGACTGAGTTTCTGAACACTCATAATTATGTTTGAAGCTTCGAATCTTGTACCATATACGATATCTAGATATCCTACATTTGAATATTCCGTGTTCACGTAATATGTTGTGGTATTGGTTACGAAGTACTTGGTAGTCCTGTTAGAGACGAGAGTATCAGGTGGAGTTAAGATAATAGTCCACAAATACACTGACTGTTAGACTGACCATTTAGGAGTGTGATTTTTTGGTTCAGATGTTTAGAATGATTGTGCTCTACCATAAGTCTCGGTAGATCTGATTAGTGTTCTATTTATGACGAGTTAGATATTGAACACCTTGTTCTTCATTTACTCCCCGTGTTTTCCTCATTTTCACTTTGCTTACATTTCAAGCTTTTCAATGCTATAGTAGTCTGTTGCAACTTAGGCCGTTGTCTTTTGGGACCATTAACGCTAATATATCTGTCTGCTAGATAAATCAATGTAAGTAGATATTGCTGACCGTACAATGGAACTGTTTTTAAGTTATAAAACAATGCCAGTTATATTCTCAATATTGCGTTTGAAAGTTTCTGATTTAAATTATGCTCTACCTACTTTGATTTTAGTAACTAAGCTGCACAAATCTGTACTCAATAACTGAATTATACCCCATATTTTACCAGGGAAATCTAACATTGTAATCATGTTTGATAATTTGTCGTTTCAAGTTGTCATGATCAGCAGCAGCTATATGTGGTGGTTAGAACCTCATTATTGATATCGAAATGTATGATCGAGTTGCTTGGCATGATAAACCTGGTAATTAGTCAGGATTTATATTTGATAACCACTTAAGATACTATCCAAAGTAAGGTAAGCGTCTTATGGTCTAGTGCTAATGTGTTTTTGACTTGAGAGTAGAAGATATTCGTAAGCTACTAGTATTTGACCACAGGTGCCTTAGAAATATTGCGGGTATCTGCTGGGATCACCGGGTAATTAATGTTGAGGTTAGACGCAGGGTATTAGGGAATGATGGTAAATCAGTTGATGAAGTTATGAATCTTCATCGACTGAGATGGTTGGGCCACGTCGCGTATGCCTGAACACCGATTACCACGACGCGCAATGCTGACCGGTGTTAGGGATGATTGGAAGAAAGTTAGGGGCGGCCAAACCAAAACGTGGCATCAGTGCTTAAAGTCACTAACTTCTGGTCTGAACCATGTTGGTAGATGCAGACTGCCTGGTTGGGTTCCACGTGACTATCGTAACCAATGGTTGGAGACTCTTGGTGACATGGCTCAAAATCGATCACAATGGCGTCGGTGTATACACTTTCTGTCTTCCTTTAAACTAAGAGATTAAAATCGCTTCATATCTTTCTTTCTACGAACCAAATTTTTCTTCCTGTACTATCTCCTTATATGCAATCTTTCTTCTATATGTCACCACCATTAAATTGACTACTTCTATGAATCTGGTGTTCATCTTGTTGTGCTATGTGGTATGGCAACTTGGACCGATGCATATACGTGCCTTGTCCTACGTTGCAGCTGACTGACTGATTTTACGCCACTTAAGGGTAAAGGGAAAACCAAGAGTGAACACCTATGTTCCATTGTTAACAATTCTGAGCCATTTTATCAAGTTTCTAACCATTGGTTGGGAAAGACGCGCAGATAAACTAAGTGGTCTGCACCTATCTATATACTTGAGTTGACTTAACAATGGCTTTATGGATCAATTTCACATTTCGGTCCAGTTTATGATCCACTCCTCTACCAACGATCATCACACGTTGAGGACGGTCCTTATTAATCAAAGTAGGTTAATTGGGTCATAATTTACCATACCGTAACTAAAAAGAAAGTTTGAAGAAAGCTGGGCACGGCGAAATCAAGATGCAGCACCATTCTACAGGGTCATTACTAATTCGGCCGAGCTATGTGAATAGATGTAAACTACCTCTTTGGGGTCTGCGTCGTAGTCGTTACCAATAAATAGAAACTTTGAAAGACACGGATCAGGATCGTTCTCCATGGAGGAGTTACACTCACTATTTATTTCCTGTGGAACCGGAGTCGCGAAATCTACTTATATCTTACCTCATTCTCTCTGTCTACTCTTTCTTACTACCCCTGAGACTTTTACCACTTCTGTTATTGTAGGATTTGTCTCGAAACGATTTTGTCTGACTGTTCTAATTTGGTGTGACAACTTGAACCGATGTATATATTTGTCAGGTCCTACGTTACAGATAGGTGTCTGATTGAAAAAAAATCTCGATCATTTACACAGGTTTTTTCTTACTTGGATTATTTTGAAAGATCATTGTTTGTATGCATGTGGTAAAATTCTTTCAGAACTGATTAACATATATTATATTCTATTATGTTATTATAGAGGATTAGACAATGCTGGCAAGACAACCATTGTAAAAAAATTTAATGGTGAAGACATAAACAGTATATCTCCAACATTAGGTTTTAGTATTCAAACACTAGAACATATGGGGTATTCAGTCAAATTATCAATATTATTCTAAGTACATATTTTTAGTTTCAAATTGAATATATGGGATGTTGGTGGACAAAAGTCTTTACGATCATATTGGCGAAATTATTTTGAAACTACTGATGCATTAATATGGGTTGTGGATAGCTCAGATCGTCTTCGTTTAGAAGATTGTCGGATAGAACTATCTAAACTGTTAGTTGAAGAACGATTAGCCGGTGCTACTTTACTTGTGTTTGCTAATAAACAAGTAAGTTCAGTAACTGTATATTTAATTGGTTATTTGAACTAATTCTATCTTGCATAAACTTTTCAATTCAGTTAATAAACACTTTGTATAGTTATTATAACTAATCAGATATCCTAATTATAAATATATTTTTGTGATATCTCAACAAGTGGAAAATTGTATTTCAGACGTTTCATGACTTGATACAAGTCAGTTCTTTTCAGTAAATAAAGAACAGGAATAAGATTAACATGAATTTGAATATTACGAAAGAAACAATGCAAAATATGTTTATGGTCGTACTAAGATGATGGAGAAGATTTGTAGCTCAGATGGATGATTTTGATGGAGTTTTATTCTCTGAACTGGATGGTTTGGTCGTGGAGCTTTCATCGTTCTTCTGAATGAACGATATCATCAGCACAAACTTCAGATAGAAGTCTATCTATCTATCTGAAGTTTGTGTTGATCATGTCGTTCAGAAGAACAATGTAAGCTCCACGATCAAACTATCCAGCTCAGAGAACAAAACTCCATCAAAATGGTCGTACTAAATATATTCAGTATTTCCCTTGTGATATTTAAACTCATGTTGATCTTATTTCCGTTATTTATTAACTGTGAAAAAGTGACTTGCATGAAACGTTAGAAATACAGTTCTCTACTTGTTGGGATATCACAAAAATATATTGATTATTAATCTTCTACTCAACGCTCAGTTTATTTAAAACTATCGAGTTTAATCTTAGCATTGATATCTATTAACTAGATATCCATTTTAAATTGGTTGCACAAAGTAATAGGATATTCTTGATGAAAAATACTAAGATGGAATTTTACATGTTTCGGTTTGGGCACCTGGGCAATATCACAGCCCTCACACAAATCAAATAAGATTTGTGTGGCACGTATGTATTTTTGGTGCCTCCTTGTACCAATATATTTATTATATTATTTATTTTAACACGTAGATATTGGTACAAGGAGGCACCAAATACATATGTGCCACACAAATCTCATTGGATATGTGTCTGGGCTATGATACTGCACGGGTGCCCAAACTGGAGCAGGTGGTTTACTTAGGGGGCCACACCCCGAGCCTTCAATCTGAAGATCTAATCCACAAGGCAGTGGAGCATCGTGAGGAGATGCAGTCCCATGGAAGCCGGTGACCAACGATTCGTTCATACGCCATTTGTTCCTTCAAGATACTGGAGCCAGCCCATGTGCACCATTGGTTTTGGGATGCGGTTAAAGCGCCGGACATTCACTCTTCGTCCTCTCAATTTCGTGAACAACACCCCTACCACGAGAATGCAGTGAGTAGGACTTCCCTGGCAGAGGCTATATACACGTGGCCATGTGAGAGCATTTGGAGGGGGAGAGCAAACTCTCCTCACTCGGCCGCACCGGAGCGTTTGAGGGCTCAATATCTATGTGTTCAAATAACATGCTATTATCTATTCATATATTTTTCACAGTTTCGACCACAAATATTAACCTCTTGTATCCAGTGTTAGCCTATATATCTTTATTTACTGTCTCTAATCAATATGCTATCTGGGCTTCGACTCCCTGTATTGCTGAGAACATCATGTATGTAAGTCAATTACAAACTAAGGGACACAGACAAATAATATATCATTTACATGACCAATCGCAGCAACTTCAACAAACTATATAGGATAAAGTAGCACCCACTCCATTTACGTCTACTTGAACACTAGTTATCTGTTAAATGCTATAACTTAGCTTCGCTTATATCAATGCATGTGGACAACCATGTAAATGACTTCGACTAGGAAAACATCAAAATACTAAACACAAGGTAGGAAGAATGCCAACGGATTTTCAGAAGTATGAAAATCTAATAAAACATCAATCAATAAACATATTGCAATCAATAAAATCTGTCAGTAGAAATTGTTGTTCAGAAGAGCAATAAAGGCTTCACAACTAAATCATTCAGCTCACAGAACATAAGACCTTCAACTCAGTTGCTTGTGCTTTGTGATCGTCCGCTCACTATCTGGATCATTTCAGGTGAACCGCATGTAGGAAAATCTATCCACACAGTTCTAGAAAATCACATGGAGGTTAGAATGATTGTTTACTGAAATCACCCCTAAAGTTTTTGACACTCGAAGGAAAGCTCAGAAGGACCGAATTATAATTCTATGATTAAAAATTATAGCTTGCATCCCAGAGGAAGGAGCAGATGATTATAGGTAAAACAGTGAGGTATTTAAACAGCCTGACTTTCCAACCTTCCCTTGGATGTTTTAGGTAATAAGAATGGAAATAATGTAAGTATCCATACAAATGAGGAGTGTTTCAAAAGAGAACAAAATTGATATACCCTACATTTTCTATATATTCGTGGAAATTATGCAACGCGGTCGCCTGAGACGATTAGATGTGGCTCAGAATATAAGTTTGTAGCTATATTTCTGTAAAGTGAAGTGAAAGTTTTTTTTTTAAAACTAAAATAAACTTCTCTTGGTTGTATTTCTAATTGAACTGTATCTCGTCAAATAGTATTCTTGTCAACTTCTTTATTGACTGTACAACTATCCCCCCCCCTTCCATATTTTTTTACAATTGATAAGTCTTGCGATTTTGAACGCTATACTCAATTCCTAAGCTATTCTTGAAGACCCCCAAGCTAGAACTATACAGCGACCTGAACACGAGAGAGAAGGCGCAAACTATGCGAAAAGTACTTTACTACAAGGTTCCATTTTTGTACAGAAAAAAAACACGGGTATTTATAGATGTTAACATTTGTTGAATCAACATCATATTTTGGCCAATCCGCTAAAAGACATATTATGCTACTGACCAATAGTAGCACGCCACGTTGGCATTCTAGAAAACTCCATCGTGCTCTGATTGGCTAAGACTCTTTGGCGCCTACAGGGCCTCCGGAGGCTCTGTTGCAGTTCTCCGAAAGCCGACTCAACAACAATATTATTTGATTTGTCCGGCTCATGTTTTTTCGGGTGCAATATTGTTAGAAAACTTTTATGTGCTATAAATAAATTCTCCATGTCTTTTATTTTCTTTCCAAATCTATTCCACTGGACTATACTCCTTTAATAACATCATTTAACCTTAATGTCCCCTATCTCTACTTATACTTTCAGTACCTCTACCATTATGGGATTTGAATCGATAACTGAATCTCTGTGCTAATATGGTATGGCAAGTCGAACTGATGTACGTAGGTAATTACGAAGTTCCGCGTTGTTACTGACTGACTGACTGAAATATAGTAAATTAAAGTTTCTATGGTTTCTGTTCTCATGTGTTTTTGGCTAGAATACCTACTGAATTACTCAGATGAAGTGGAATTCGACTATCTGTTATCATCCCAAGTTGTTATACTTTAAAAATAATGAATCTATAAGTGGATGATGTTGATTTACTGGTTGTAACGCTTGACATTCAACCAATAGGTCACATTGTACACCATTTACTTTGATTTAAACAACTAGATATTATCACTAACCCTCACATCGTCAATATGGTTCAAAAATAAGCACACAAACATGTACTTCATAAATTAAGTTAGACATGGATTAAATAATGGATAAAAATTATTTACTGAACAAATACCCTCGTACGACCGAGAGTGGGGAGAGTCAGCTTTCACATGCCTATATGCATACAATCACTAACAGGGAAGTTCTACTCATTACCTTCTCTTGGCAGGGGTATTTTTTGTGAGATTGAGAGGACAAAAACCAAATGTCCGGAGTTTTAACCGGGTTGGTGGACACGGAGAGTTTATTTTATTTTTTAAAATTTTATTTGAACATAAAAATATTTTTACAAGAGAGCACCAAATATATGTGCGCCATACAAACTTTTATTTGTGTGTGGGCTATGAGACTGCCCGGGTGCGCAGACCGAAGCAGGTGGTTTACTTAGGTGGCCACACCCCGAGCCTTCAATCTGAAGATCTAATCCACAAGGCAGTGGAGCATCGTAAGGAGATGCAGTCCCATGGTAGCCGGTGACCAACGATTAGTTCATACGCCATTTGTTCCCTCAGGATACTGGAGCTGATGTGCACCATTGATTTGGGATCTGGTTAAAGCGTCGGATATTCGCTTTTCGTCCTCTCAATTTCGTAAACAACAGTAGTGCCACGAGAAGGCAGTGAGTAGGACTTCCCTGCCAGAGTTTTATTTATTTATTTTAACACATAAGTATAGGTACAGGGAGGAACCAAATACATATGCGCCAGAGGCTGTATACGCGTGGCCGTGTGAGAGCATTTCGAGAGGGAGGGCCGTAAAATAATCGGAAAGACTAGATTTCTATTGTTATATCATGAATACAAACATAAATCCAGTTATATGTATATGGCTCTTAAATAAACGCCGTCTTAGAATTGAATTACAAAACACGCTGAAGTATAATGTTGCAAACAGTCTAATGCCGAATGCTTCTGAAAATACTGATTTTCTTCTTGTTAACCTTATAAATACTTGTATACTACTTCGTATATGAGTTGTATCATGTGTCTTATTTACCAAGTATAGGGGTGTACACCCTGGCCTGTCAGTTAGTCACATGTATGCATCAGTCAAAGTTGCCATACCTCATTAGCACAACAAGATCAACACCAAATTCATAAAAGTAGTTACTTCAATGGAAGTAATATATACAAGAAAGATCGCGTATAAGGTCAGTCAGTCTTGTGTGCTGTTAGGAGTATGAGGGCGGTTATCACTTCCTGGTTGCTCACACCGTGGAAGGGTTCTTCTGGAGGTACCTGAAAAAGAAATTGGATTATAGGTGGTCTTAATGACCTAAGAGTGTGATCTCAATGCCCAAAAGGACGACTGCTTGAGGTCGGTCACACACGACCATTTTGTGATAGCTCCCTACTTGTTGACACCTTACCGCCGGAGACGGATATCTGTGGGATAAGGTGAGATGTGCATTTTTAGGGTACACCTTTTCTATCCCCACCCTTCTTGTGGGAAGGCAGCATCGCTGTTATGCTGATTGTTTGAAGGAAACACTTTACTGCTGTCACACTTCTGTACAATCAGCAGTACAACTTCGCCTTCGGACCTTGGTTTTGTTGCTTTTAGTTATACCGCTCTTCAACCGACCTGTCTGACATGGTAGGACCTTGAGGAACAATTGTTTCAGCCAGTATAGCTCGATTGGTTCATCACTTTAGGCAAACTCGCCCGACTACCACATCAAGGTGGTAATAATGGTCGAGACACTTCACTTTAAGGTACTACTAAGCAATCCATATATTATTCCAAATTGTTATTATTTAACGAAATATATATTTTTGTATTTTATATTTTAGGATTTATCTTCATCATTGAAATCATCACAAATACGTGAATTATTACAATTAGATAAGATAACAACACATCATTGGTTAATTCTTGGTTGTAGTGCAGTAACTGGAGAGAATTTACTAGATGGTATAAATTGGTTACTTAATGATGTATCTTGTAGAATATTCACATCAGATTAAATTAAATGTTTATGTAAAATCACATTTGTTGAAATATTTACTTTCCTTTTATTTTTCTTCTTCTCTTGAAATCAATTTGTGTAATGACATCATCATTATTTGACTAATAATATTTATCATTGTTAAGTCGACTTTCCAAGAACTATAACGGAACTTTCAGAGTTCCTGAAGGAGTTGAAGAGTTCTAATCAATCAGAGGCTCCCAAATGCCCTGGTAAGGGCGAAAGTGGAGAGAGTCCGTTCTCCCTCTTGAAATGCTCTCACATGAACACGCGTATATAGCCTTTGTCAGGGAAGTCCTACTCACTGCATTCTCGTGGTAGGGGTGTTGTTCACGAAATTGAGAGGACGAAAAGCGAATGTCCGGCGCTTTAACCGGATCCCAAAACCAATGGTGCACATGGGCTGGCTCCAGTATCCTGAAGAAACAAATGGCGTATGAACGAATCGTTGGTCACCGGCTACCATGGGACTGCATCTCCTTACGATGCTCCACTGCCTTGTGGGTTAGACCTTTAGGTCGAAGGCTCGGGGTGTGGACGCCTAAGAAAACCACCTGCTTCGGTTTGGGCACCCGGGCAGTATCATAGCCCTGACACATATCCAATGAGATTTGTGTGGCACATATGTATTTGTTGCCAGCTTGTACCAATATCTATGTGTTAAAATAATAATAATAAGCCAATCAAAGCATGATGGAGCTTTGTATAATTCTGATTTGAGACTGTTCAAACGTCTTTTCTTGATGCTTCATATAAGCTTCTAACTGATTCAAAGAAATATTCATTGTAGTTTTCCCGTTGCCACTGATAAGTCTTGGAAGTTTGAACGTTATACTCGGTCCCTAAGTTATTCTTGAAACCCCCAAGTTAGAACTACACGGTAACCTGAACACGAGAGAGAAGGCGCAAACTATGCGAAAAGTACTTTATTCGAAGGTTCATTTTTGTACAGAAAAACACGGGTATTTATAGATATTGACATTTGTCAAATCAACATTATATTTTGGCTAATCTGCTAAAAGAGATATTATGCTACTGACTAATAGTAACACGCCACGTTGGTATTCTAGGAAGTTCCATCATGCTCTGATTGTCTAGGACTCTTAAGTTCTTTCAGGGCCTCTGGAGGCTCCGTTGAAGTTCTAAGAAAGCCGACTCAACCATCATACTTCGTCATATATAAGAATATAACATTGGTAACATGATTTTGTGCTTAATCATACAATATGATTGTACACATTATTTATGCCTATAAATATATTAATTATTCCAAATATTATTTATTTTCCGTTCATCGGAGACCTTTAAATGACGTTGCACTGATCTTCATAATGTCCAATTATTTACTTACACTTGTTACTTGTAATGGAGCATAGACTGCCGACCAGCATCTTCCAACCTACTCTGTTCTGGGCCTTCTTTCCTAGTTCTATCCAATTTTTGTTCATTCTTTTTATGTCTATCTCCATTTCTCGACATAATGTGTTCTTTGGTCTTGAGGATTCCAAGTGAAAATGAGGACTTGCCTTGTGACTTAAACTTACAGGGTGTTTATAAACTAGTGTGAAAAATCAGGATTAGGATTTATAGCTGTACGTTAGGGTTAGGAACTAATTCCTTCTTCATGTACTATCTCCTTATATGTAATCTTTCCTTCATATATTAGCACCATTGAAGTAACTAGTTCTATGAATCCGGTGTTCATCTTGTTGTGCTAATGCGGTATGGCAACTTGGACCGATGCATATACGTGCCTGGTCCTACGTTGCAGCTGACTGACTGACTGAGGGTTAGGAGTTAGTTTTTGGGGTTTTTTTTCTTATCACGAACTGATATAAGATATAATGTCAAAATGCTACTTAGCAAATGAATGGACGAATTTCGCGCCAAAATCTAATACATATTATCGTAAATCTGATTGACTAGTCCATAAATTATAGTTTCATCGGAAGCATATATACGAGTGACACTTACTGCATATACTATTTGAAGGGTATCTTGGGTCTACTATCGTTGGTTTCACTTAACACTGAATTCATGTAAAGATTGTTTGAACCCTGTCATTGGTGGAGTTCTTCGCATTGGTTGGTTTTATAATGTTGCTTCAGTAATCTCTAAAACTTTCGTACCGGAAATTTGGGAGCTAAGAGATTTTGTGAAGGATTGCTTGAGATGTTGGTTATTTGAGAATACATCTAATTGACATCATACCTCAATATGATTCCAACAGAATTACTTTCACGGACCTTACAAACTATGACATCAAAATGCACCGGAACTGTCGCTGGAGGCGCTTCGTATGTTACAAAAACATTAGTCTGTAACTGCTGGAAAAACACGGATGTGTAACCCATCGAGAACTCATCTAAGCCATGGTTTATTAAAAATGCTGAGTCGAACAAAGCACATTGCTACCAAGCACCGCTAAAGGGGATCGATAGAAGACTATACCTCATTCTGGAGCACATGTTTAGACTCGAATCTTACTCTAGTTCGATCACGTATTTGACTGCGTCTTACTGGACGTAGAGAATCCATGACAAGAATAACCCCTTAGAGTTCAACTTAGTGATAAAAAAGTTAAGAATACGCATGAGGAATAACTAGAGAAGTTAGTCAATCATGAAAGGGATAAACATCCTGAGGTAACTTGGAATGATATCCAGAAAATCTGTGGAAACAGCAGTGATACCTAGCGGTAACATGAATCGATAGGTTATAAAAAAAACTGTAGATTTCAGCGGCATTTACTGAACTGATAGATTTTAGGAAACTTATCCCATCTGGTTCCGAATACGATGAGGAGCGTAAGCTGATAAAAATTCTACATAAAGATTGTGAGAAGTGATGGCTCGTGGAGGCAGAAGAGATGGGAAAGGCAGCTGTGGTAGGTAACAGTAAATAACTGTTTAGATGTTTCAAGGAAACGAGTACCAATAAGCCGGCTGTTAATGAAACTATCTCAGAAACAGTTGGGAATGTTATTCACTTTCAACTTAGAAGATTGAATTCATAGGTAGAACACTTTCAGTCACATTTCAGTACCCTACAATGCCAATGTGAATCACTTGTAGTGTGGGCGAGCAATCCGTCTTCCAAGCAATAGGACGACTTTATTGAGCAATAGTTCGTTCTGTTCTAATTTATGGATGTAAAACATGGTCATTAAGAATAGAAAAATCACTCTTGTATATTGGGATTACGGAGTTAGCAATGGGCGGGTTACGCGAATATAGTACTAGCTAAAGATAGTTAGGGGCGGCCAAACCAAAACATGACATCAGTGCTTGAAGTCACTAACTTCTGGTCTGAACCATGTTGGTAGATGAAGACTACCTAGTTGGGGTCCGCTTGACTATCGTAAGCAATGGTTGGAGACTTTTGGTGACATGGCTCAGAATCGATCACAATGGCGTCGGTGTATACACTCTATGTCTTCCCTTATACTCAGAGATTAAAATCGCTTCATATCTTTCTTTCTACGAACTAATTCTGTCTTCCTGTACTATCTCCTTATATGCAATCTTTCTTCTATATATTACCACCACTGAATCAACTACTATGAATCCGGTGTTGATCTTGTTGTGCTAATTAGGTATGGAAACTTGGACCGATGCATATATGTGCCTTGTCCTACGTTGCAGCTGACTAGCTAAAGATGAGGAATCGATTGATGAGATAGTAAATCTTCAGCAACTGAGGTAATCGGGATGTGTTACGCATCATTAACCACCGTCTATGTGGACGGGTGGTGTTGTGTAGGAGTTGGTTTCAAGAAAACTATGGATCACCCAACCAACACATTGTACAAATTCATAAAGATTACTGACGATCAGACTTATCCATTCTCATAGGTAAAGACTACCTGGTTGGTTGCATGTAACCGATAATTATAGACATTGCTAAAAATCGTCTACCATGGCTCAATTGCATCCATTCCTCGTCACCCCACCTACCCCAAATTTTGAACTTTTGAATTCCTTATCTTCTTATTTTGCTCATTTATAATTACTTTTCGAATGTCCCACACCAACCACATCACCACTACACTACTCTATAAAGAAGTAATAGAATCTGCGCTCTAAACGAGCACGGAAGATCAATCTACTATTAAACAGATTGAAATCTCATCTATTATCAGAATAAAACCACACAAATCATCATTTCATCCAACTAAGAATATTCCTGAAGAAGTTCCGACGAATTTGTTGGACGAAACATTTCAATCAATATTTTTTTCAAAACAATACCAAATAAAAATTCAAATGAAATGAATTCATGAAATTTACTTCTGATCTATTCAATGGAATCATTCAATCAACCTCTTGAACGTTTCAATCGATCATTCGAACATTGTGATCTATTTTGATCTTGTTTGATACCAATTTTTTGATCCTTTAATAATTCACCACCAATATATTCACATCAAAACGCGCCACAACTGTCACTAGAGGCGCTTCGTATGTTACGACAACATTAATCTGTAATTCCTGGAAAAACACGGTACATGTGTGGCCCCAGGTAATGTTAGACCTAATATTGTTCAATTTCGTACAACTTAGGTATGCCGCTTATCCTTCCATGAAGTAAAAATCGATATCTTACCCACTGGATTACAAGCGCACTACTCTATAAAGAAGTAATAGAATCTGCGCTCTAAACGAGCATGGAAGATCAATCTACTATTAAACAGATTGAAATCTCATTTATTATCAGAATGAAATCACACAAATCATCATTTCATCCAACTAAGAATATTCCTGAAGAAGTTCTGACGAATTTGTTGGACGAAACATTTCAATCAATATTTTTTTCAAAACAATACCAAATAAAATGAAATTTACTTCTGATCCATTCAATGGAATCATTCAATCAACCTCTTGAACGTTTCAATCGATCATTCGAACATTGTGATCTATTTTGATGTTGTTTGATACCAATTTTTTGATCCTTTAGTAATTGACCACCAATATATTGACATTGTTTAGGTTTTTTTATATAATCTTTATTATTATTGTGAGATAATTTCATATCATTTAACCATATTTTCCATGGTACTATAATTTGTTTTGGTGGTATAATTAATTTTGATTGATTTTTTGAATGATTTGGATACCATATTAATGATTGTGCTGCATTACAATGGGGGGGATGAATAGCGGATAATGGTAATTTTTTATTTGTATCTAATATCATTGGTTGTTCATATTGTTTATCATGAATTTGTTTTACACGTTTACCAATCGATTGATATGGATCTAATTGAATATGTAATTGATATTTCCAATGAATTGTATTTAAGATATAGATTTCATCTTTTTCAATATTGATTAAATTATAAGGATTGAATTGATTATATTGATTATGTTTTATAGCAATTAACCATACCCAAAATTGTTGTTCTCTTATAATTTCTGTTAATAGAATACGATGATGATTATGATTACCATGACTACTACTACTACTACTACTACTATGAGTAGTACTCTTGTTGTTGCTATGATAACAAGATGGTAATTCCCATGCAATAGTTGGATAAAAATAATCTTCATAATATAATTCAATAAATTGATTTATTCTATAATTAGGATAGATATGATATTGACTATTATATAGATTATAAAATGGATATTGATTACCATCACTATCATTAATCATAATATAACGTTTACTATAAATTGGATGAAATTCCCATAATGTACTACCATAGAAATCATAACGATTTTCTATAATATATTGATAACATGCTTGAACTAAACCAATTGTCCAATGATGTTTAATAATAGAATGATCATTATTTAATAATAATTGAACAATACAATGAAAATGTTGACTTTTATAATGAAATAAATGATTATTTTCTAGAATATCTGTTTTACTATTTGGATCATAATAAGCATGAATTGATTGAACATGAATATGATCTATAGAAAAATTTGACATTATTAGATAGATCTTTGAATAATCAGAAGTTCTTTGAATTCTTTTTCTTCTTCTTCTTCGTTGTTGTTGTTGTTGTTGATGTCGTCTTCTTATTCGATAGATTTCGTTAGATCAATTGTACAAAAAAAAAAACAAAACACGGAAAGGATCGTTTAATGATGATGATTTCAATAAGCAGAAGTTCTTCGACTTCTTCTTCTTCGTTGTTGTTGTTGTCGTCTTCTTGTTAGATAGATTTCGTTAGATCAATTGTACAAAAAAAAAACAAAACACGGAAAGGATCGTTTAATGATGATGATTTCAATAAGCAGAAGTTCTTGTTCTTCTTCTTCGTTGTTGTCGTCTTCTTATTAGATAGATTTCGTTAGATCAATTGTACAAAAAAAAACAAACAAACACGGAAAGGATCGTTTAATGATGATGATTTCAAGGAGCAGAAGTTCTTGTTCTGCTTCTTCTTCGTTGTTGTTGTCGTCGTCTTCTTATTAGATAGATTTCGTTAGATCAATTGTACAAAAAGAAAAACAAAACACGGAAAGGATCGTTTAATGATGATGATTTCAATAAGCAGAAGTTCTTCTGCTTCTTCTTCGTTGTTGTTGTCGTCTTCTTATTAGATAGATTTCGTTAGATCAATTGTACAAAAAAAAACAAACAAACACGGAAAGGATCGTTTAATGATGATGATTTCAAGGAGCAGAAGTTCTTCGACTTCTTCTTCTTCGTTGTTGTTGTCGTCTTTTTATTCGATAGATTTCGTTAGATCAATTGTACAAAAAAAAACAAAACACGGAAAGGATCGTTTAATGATGATGATTTCAAGGAGCAGAAGTTCTTGTTCTTCTTCTTCGTTGTTGTTGTCGTCTTCTTATTAGATAGATTTCGTTAGATCAATTGTACAAAAAAAAACAAACAAACACGGAAAGGATCGTTTAATGATGATGATTTCAAGGAGCAGAAGTTCTTCGACTTCTTCTTCTTCGTTGTTGTTGTCGTCTTTTTATTCGATAGATTTCGTTAGATCAATTGTACAAAAAAAAACAAAACACGGAAAGGATCGTTTAATGATGATGATTTCAATAAGCAGAAGTTCTTCGACTTCTTCTTCTTCGTTGTTGTCTTTTTATTAGACAGAATTCGTTAGATCAATTGTACAAAAAAAAACAAACACGGAAAGGATCGTTTAATGATGATGATTTCAAGGAGCAGAAGTTCTTCGACTTCTTCTTCTTCGTTGTTGTTGTCGTCTTTTTATTCGATAGATTTCGTTAGATCAATTGTACAAAAAAAAACACGGAAAGGATCGTTTAATGATGATGATTTCAAGGAGCAGTTCTTCTTTCTTGTTGTTGTCTTCTTGTGAGATTGATTTCCCAAGATCAATTTTACAAAACAAATAAAAGATCCTTTAATGATGATGATGATTTCAATGAGCAGAAGTTCTTCGACTTCTTCGTTGTCTTCTTATTAGATAGATTTCCTTAGATTGATTTTACAAACACAAAGAAAGGATCGTTTAATGATGCTAATTTAAATGATCAGAAGTTCTTCTTCCTTGTCTTCTTATTAGATCGATTTAACAAACACAAAGAAGGGATCCTTTAATAATGATGATTTCAGTGATCAGAAGTTCTTCTTTCTTGTTATCGTCTTGTTAGATTGATTTCCCAAGATCAATTTTACAAAACAGATAAAAAATCCTGTAATGATGATGATTTCAATGATCAGAAGTTCTTCTTCTGCTTCTTCGTTGTTGTTGTTGTCTTCGTGTTAGATAGATTTACTTGGATTGATTCTACAAAACAAATAAAAGATCCTTTAATGATGATGATTTCAATGATCAGAAGTTCTTCTGCTTCTTCTTCGTTGTTGTTGTCGTCGTTATCTTCTTATTAGATAGATTTCCTTAGATCAATTGTACATACACAAAGAAAGGATCCTTTAATGATTATGATTTCAATGATCAAAATTTCTTCTGCTTCTTCGTTGTTGTTATTGTCGTCTTCTTGATCGATTTTACAAACACAAAGATAGGATCGTTTAATGATGATAATTTCAATGATCAGAAGTTCTTTCTTGTTGTCGTTGTCGTCGTGTTAGATAGATTTCTTTAGATCAATTGTACAAACACAAAGAAAGGATCGTTTAATGATGATGATTTCAATGATCAAAAGTTCTTCTGCTTCTTCGTTGTTGTTATTGTCGTCTTCTTGATCGATTTTACAAACACAAAGAAGGGATCCTTTGATGATTTCAATGATCAGAAGTTCTTTCTTGTTGTCGTCTTGTTAGATAGATTTCCTTAGATCAATTGTACAAACACAATGAAAGGATCCTTTAATGATTATGATTTCAATGATCAAAAGTTTTTCTGCTTCTTCGTTGTTGTTATTGTCGTCTTCTTGATCGATTTTACAAACACAAAGAAGGGATCCTTTGATGATGATGATTTCAATGATCAGAAGTTCTTTCTTGTTGTCGTTGTCGTCTTGTTAGATAGATTTCTTTAGATCAATTGTACAAACACAAAGAAGGGATCCTTTAATAATGATGATTTCAATGATCAGAAGTTCTTCTTTCTTGTTATCGTCTTCTTGTTAGATTGATTTCCCAAGATCAATTTTACAAAACAAATAAAAGATCCTTTAATAATGATGATGATGATGATTTCAATGATCAAAAGTTCGTTTTCTTCTTCTTGTTATACTAATTTATTCGTTTATTCATTCATTTATCTATATAGTTACTTTAAATTTTTATTATTGAATATCGATAATAGATCAATAATCAATATAATCTATTTTATTTGAATAGGACAATTTATATGAGAAATAAATGAAATGTAGTTGTTTTTTATTTTATTTTACTATTATTAAACAAGTAGGTTTAATGCCTAAATAAACATTGGTACAAGGAGGCACCAAATACATATACGCCACACGAATCTCAATTGATTTGTGTGAGGGCTGTGATACTGCCCGGGTGGTCAAACCGAACCAGGTGGTTTACTTAGGGAGACACACCCCAAGACTTCGACCTAAAGGTTTGATTCACAAGGCAGTGGAGCATCGTAAGGAGATGCAGTCCCATGGTAGCCGGTGACCAAGAAATTGGTTCATACGCCATTTGTTCTCGCAGGATACTGGAGCCTATGTGCACCATAGGTTTGGGATCCGGTTAAAGCACCGGACATTCGCTTTTCGTCCTCTCATTTTCGTAAACAACAGTGATGCCACGAGAAGGCAGTGAGTAGGACTTCCCTGGCAGAGGCTATATACGCGTGGTCATGTGACAGCATTTGGAGAGAGAGAGAGCGGACTCTCCCCACTCTCGGTCGTACCAGTCCTAAACATCAATGGGAGCATTCAAATAAATAAACACTAATTATCATGACATACAATATTGATTAGTCTTGGGGGATGGTTGAAAGGAAATTAGGGGAAGCCAAACCAATAGGTGACATCAGTGTTTAAAGTCACTAAACTCTAGTCTGAGTCATGTTGGTAGATACAGATTACTTAATTGGAGTCCGCGTGACTATTGCAACCAATGGTTGAAGACTCTAGGTGACTTGACTTAGAATCGATCACAATGGCGTAGATTTATTTAATCGTTGTATCTTCTTTTTATATATTACTACCATTAAGGTAACTACTTTTATGAATTTGGTGATCATTTTGTTGTACTAATGAGGTATGGCAACTTGGACTGATGCATATATGTCGTACGTTGGTTTTATGATTAGAGGAATTTATTTTTATATAGTAAATTGAAAGTTTAAATGTATTGTAAAAATGAAATGACGATTTCCCATTACAATATCATCCACATACTCAGGGTCGAGATCCATACCACCATTACTTACATCCATCAGAGTTGTTTCCAGAATGTCATCGATAGCAAAGTTGAAGAGGAATGGTAAGATTGAGCAACCCTTATCTCACTGCTTGAATGGAACAGTGGAGGTGGGTGTTTGTATGCACTTCAAGAGTTGGAGTTCTCTGCGGTCTTCTGCTTCATCCGGTGGATCAGTTGTCACAGGCCATAGAAGGTAGGATAGTCTGATCGATGTTCCCGGGGCAGCAGACAAATTGAAGTGCTCCTCGGATAACTGCTCATCGTCCAAGACGTCGGTAGATGTTAGTGATTGGTATCCCGTCATCTCCACAGATTGCTTCGTTCACACCACAATTCTGGCCGCCAGTGACTCGGATAAGTTGAAAGAGCTTCCGGCAGTTACCAGATGCAGCTTCTACTTCCAAATCGTCGACACACTTCAATCACCAGGCCTCTCCGTCCTTACGCAAGTTTTGCAACAGTCATCGTTTGTGATCACCAGAAGTAAACTGATGGGTTGTAATGAGCCTAAAGAAACACAGTGCTGAACGTTTCGCGAAACCTCGGGCGACCTCACTCGCCATTTTCATGGCGTCATGCAGTTGCAACCAATGCTCATCTATACTTTTCGATGGGATGTTAGCTAACCTAGCTCGGTTTGATATTTAGTTTCAACAGAAGCTCCAATCAACTTACTGGCATCGATCCATTTAAGACGATGAATTTGTTGGCCACTGCAATGTAAGATAAGATTGGCGCAAACAAGGGAGTGTTGTACACAACCACGCCAGCGGTAGCTGATCGCAATGTGATCAATCCGAGTTCAGACTTCAGATGCAGAGGGAGGGCGCCAGGTGGCAAATCCGCGATGACTGTGCCGGTAGTTAGTGCTAGCTAGAAACAGGTTGTGGTCTGTGCACAGTTGCAGTAGACGGTCCCCGTTATCTGTCCTGCGACGAACAAGTCCCCATCGACCACCTACACGACTCTCCTTTATGCCTAGACGCTCTACTTGAGCATTCAATTCTCCGGCTAGTACTACAATATCTGTCAAACGCACTACCTGTAAAAGAAAACTTAACTAGTGGTAATACTCATCCTTGATCGCGTCCGGGCTGAAATCTGTCGGAGCGTAGGCAAAGATATCATTTCTCATACTAATTTCTTTGTACTTCAATGGAACTTTCTAATCTAACAGCATATAACCGACTATTAATAGGGATTCATTAGTCAGTTCTGTTTCAGTACGACACCAATGTCAGCAAAACCAGTCGAAAATGTCACAAGGTAAACGTATGTGAAACAAGTATTTCGAAGCGACAAATAAAGAGTGAATCACATAAATCTATACTAAGCTTTCACTGAGATTGGTTATAGTATCTATATTCTATAACAGTTTTGTGGCAGATTTATGAAACATTAAAAGGTCATTTCTATCAGTTATCTTAATCAATGAAATTACTACAATCTCCACAAAACCCCTTCTGATAATAATCAACATATGCTCATTAGTGACTGGCTTCAAGAGGTATATCCTGGAGTTCTAGTGAAAAGTAGTGACCAGTGGAGTTCAAACCAGGTCTGTTGTGGGATAGAAACTCACTGAAGACAATGGTGGATGTGTCGCTCAATTTCGTGGATTAGTTGAAGTTAGACATTAACACCGTTGGATGCCGGCTCAGTGGTCTAGTGGTTAAGTGCTCGTGCGCGAAGCCAGTAGGTCCTGGGTTCGAATCTCGCAGGGGGCGAGGTCGTGGATGCGCACTGCCAAGGAGGAGTCCCATAATAGGACGAAACGGCCGTTCAGTGCTTCCAGGTTTTCCATGGAGGTCTAGCTTCAACTGACTCATGATCTTAATCAATAAATAAAAAACGTCTACAAACACAAATATTATTGAGTGGGAAAAATTTACCATTCAACTTTAACACCTTTCAATACTATGCTATATGAATACTAAATAAATAGTGCTTTAATTAATCATAATACGTTTTCTAGGTTCTGAATAAAAATTCATTTATTTTTGCATTTGAACAATATGCTGATATCCATAATCATTACATAAATAGCATAGCCTTAACCCGACTGTTGATGTTACCTTGACGTGGTAGTCGGGTGAGTTTGCTTATCGTGATGAAGCAACTGAGCTATACTAGCTGGAACAACCATTCCTCAAGGTCGGTTGAAGAGCGGTAAGTCTAAAAGCAACAAACTCAAGGTCTGACTGTACAGAAGTGTGACAGCAGTAAAGTGTTTCCTTCAAACAATCAGCATAACAGCGATGCTGCCTCCTTACAAGAAGGAAAGTAGTGGGGTTAGAAAACGTGTACCCTAAAAATGCACATCTCACCTTATCCCACGGATATACGTCTCCGGCGGTAGGGTCTCAACAAGTACGGAGCTAACACAAAAATTACTCACAAAATGATCGTGTGTGATCGACCTCAAGCAGTCGTCCTTTTGGGCATTGAGATCACACTCTTAGGTCATTTAGACCATCTATAGTCCAATTTCTTTTTCAGGTACCTCCAGAAGAACCCTTCCACGGTGTGAGCAACCGGGAATTGATAACCGCCCTCATATCTCTAACAGAACTCAAGACCACTATATTCATAATCAACCTGATTGACCATAGCCTTTAAACTGATTGCACATATTAGTAATTAGTTATTCACCTAATAAGTTGGCTAAAGCTTCTATAACAATTTCACCACTACATTTCCACAGCAAAAGGGTAAATTGTGAATAGACTTCACATCATTATTCTTTCTTCCAACGCTTACCTTTATGAATATGAACCATTTATGATGGTTACCCTTCTGCTTACTACACCCTTATTAATGTGAAACGAATAAAACTCGAATTCCTTATATCAAAATGTCACAATTTGAGAGAAGAACAATGGACTATATATAATTTATAAGCAAAGAGACTGATCAATCGCAGTCCTAAACACCAATGGGAAGATACAAGCCAAACGATATCAAGTGAATTAAACTTCACCTCATTGTACAAGCAGGTAAGTGGCTATCAGAACTCAGTAGCTAAGTGGATAACTCAATGGCGTTTGAAGCAAACAGTACTGGATTCGAGTCTCAGAGTGAACATCAACAAGTCTGAGATGCAGGTAGGTATATCCAACTAACGAGTCCCAAATAGAACGAAATAGCGCGCGTCAAACTGGATTCTACTGCTAGCCAATATCCATCTATCTTTTACTTATAATGCTTGTAAATTAAGGTGATATCGAGGCAATACGCACAGTATGCCAATAAAAGAGACTGATCAATTTCAGTCCTAAATATCAAATGGGATGTTTCAAGTAATGACAATATCAAGTGAATTAAAAACTTCACTCCATTGCACAAGCAAGTGACTATTAGGACTCAGTAGCTAAGTGAATAACGTGATGGCATTTCAACTGAATGTTACTAGGTTCGAGTCCCAGAGTGATCAACAAATGTAAGGCAATACACACAGTATTGCAATAAAAGAGACTGATCAATTTCAGTCCTAAATATCAAATGGGATGTTTCAAGTAATGACAATATCAAGTGAATTAAAAACTTCACTCCATTGCACAAGCAAGTGGCTATTAAGACTCAGTAGCTAAGTGAATAACGTGATGGCATTTCAACTGAATGTTACTAGGTTCGAGTCCCAGAGTGATCAACAAATGTAAGGCAATACACACAGTATTGCAATAAAAGAGACTGATCAATTTCAGTCCTAAATATCAAATGGGATGTTTCAAGTAATGACAATATCAAGTGAATTAAAAACTTCACTCCATTGCACAATCAAGTGGCTATTAAGACTCAGTAGCTAAGTGAATAACGTGATGGCATTTCAACTGAATGTTACTAGGTTCGAGTCCCAGAGTGATCAACAAATGTAAGGCAATACACACAGTATTGCAATAAAAGAGACTGATCAATTTCAGTCCTAAATATCAAATGGGATGTTTCAAGTAATGACAATATCAAGTGAATTAAAAACTTCACTCCATTGCACAAGCAAGTGGCTATTAAGACTCAGTAGCTAAGTGGATAACTCAATGGCGTTTCAACTGAATGTTACTAGGTTCGAGTCCCAGAGTGATCAACAAATGTAAGGCAATACACACAGTATTGCAATAAAAGAGACTGATCAATTTCAGTCCTAAATATCAAATGGGATGTTTCAAGTAATGACAATATCAAGTATGAGTTATATATGTATATATATAATTTAGTATCCGGGTAATAATATACATTTAACAAAGAACAATTAATCATGTACAATAAAAAAGTTTATAATAATAGTTATTCAAGAAAGAAAGAAAATAATAAAAAAAAAGAGGAAAAGAAACATACACAACCGTTTATTTAAATTTTTCGATTCAATTTTTGACTATTTGACAATCTAGTTGATCTTCTAGAACCATTTACCAGTACTGATGATGAAGATGGTGCTGGTGATGATGATGATGATGTTGGAGATGGTGATGATGATGATGTTGATGAGGATATTACAATTTTTTTCTGAGAATGTTTTAATTTTTTAGCATTACGACTACGTGAACTATTATTGTTATTATTATTAATGATATTTTCATTGTCAGAACTTTGAAGAACAACTTTTCCACGACTTGTTTTATGGAATAATTTTTTTGGTAAATTATTATTAATATTCTTTTGATGAGTATCTGTTATTCTAGTATTTTTTTTGGATTGAATTTGTTTATTTGAAGGATTAGTATGTGATACTGCAGGTTTTGAAGTAGGAGTTAAATCGATATCAACTGCATCATGATCATGATCATGATCATCATCGTCGTCGTCGTCGTCGGAAAAATCCAATAAGTTTTGATGGGATGATTTATCTGTAAAATATTTAGAACAATACACTAGTCAATAGAATAAATTAGACGATAATGTTTTAAATGATATTATAAACCGATGAATGTTAGACCACCACTGAATGGCCATTTCATCTTAGTGTAGGATTCCTCGGTGGTGCATATTAATGATCCCGAACGTGTAGCTGTGACTAGTGGAATTCAACATCGTCAGATATGAGGTAGTTACTCACTGAAGACAATGGAGGATGGTCGGGCAATACTAAGAATTGATTGAACTTAGACATTAACACTGTTGCATGTCGGTTCAATAATCTCTATTTTTATTTGAACACATAAATATTGGTACAAGACGGCACCAAATATATATGCGCGACACAAAACAATGAGAATTTGAAGAGAAGGTGAAAAAAAAGTAATGAACGTGGGGAATTATAAAAAAAAGAAGAGAGAGAGAGAGAACAATGGTGGGGGAAACGAAAAGGTGCAATCAGAAGAGATCTTTCAGTTAAGGAAGATACAACCGTTTATAAAAAGAAAGTTAAAGAAGGTTACAGCAGGATCGCCATTGGCTTCTATTCTGAGCCATATCTAATAACGTCTCTAGCCACTGCGTTACACCATCTCTAGGATCCCAGCCAGGGAGTTGCGAAGGACCAACACAAGCCAGTCCTTTGCAGCTTTCTTTCATGCCACGACACCATGTCATATACTGACCACCTCTCAGCTTTTTCCAACTAGTCCCAGAGTCGGCAAATAATGCACGACGTGGGATTCTCTGGGACGACATTCGTAGAACATGTCCAAGCCACCGAAGTCGGTGTTTCAAGATGGTGACACCAATTTCATTATCGTCTCTGTGACCGAACACACGATGCCGAACCTCTGCATTACTGACATGGTGTTGCCACTGGATGCCAGCAATCCTTCGGAGGCAACGATGATCGAACACAGAGAGTCGTCTAACATCCTCAACTCGGAGAGGCCAGGTTTCACAAGCATAGAGCAAAACTGCTCTCACCGACGCGTTGTAGATCCGACCTTTTACAGCCAGACTAACATCACGAAGGCGCCAAAGATGGTCCAGATTGGCATAAGCCGCTCTGGCTTTCACTATACGTGCATTGATCTCATCGGTCACACCACTCACCACCATCACTTATGCAGCTACCCAGATACACGAACTTCTCGATTACCTCTATCTGCTCACCATCCAGAGTGAGTACAGGATTAGAATCCTGCCAGTCTTGTAGAAGTACTTTGCACTTTGAAGGTGGAAAGCATATACCATACCTACGGACATTGATTGCCAAGTGATTAAGTGCGGATTGCATGGCTTGGGCATTCTCGCACAGTAAGACAATATCATCCGCATACTCAAGGTCGAGAAGTCTTTCTCCAGGCAACAGATCCACACCACCATTACTTACATCCGTCAGAGCTGTTTCCAGAATGTCATCGATGGCAAAGTTGAAGAGGAATGGTGAGATTGGGCAACCCTGCCTAACCCCACTGCTCGAATGGAACAATGGAGAGAGGTGGTTGTATGCCCTCACTCTGCCTGAGGTGTTTGTGTATAGGGCTTTTAGGATGTTAATAAACTTCTCAGGCACACCCTTCTTAAACAGACACTCCCAGGTTAGGCGTTCATGCGCGAGACTTGATTTCCCCCGTGTAGAGTCGTGTATGCGTACTGCTGAGGAGTCCCATACTAGGACGAAACAGCCGTTCAGTGCTTCCAGGGTTTGAGTGATGCCTTAGTATTCATTGGTTCATGATCTCCCCGACCGTATCTGCTACCTTGACGCGGTGGTCGGGCTTGCCTATCGTGACGACCCAACCGAACTATGTTGGCTGGAACATATGTTTCTGTAGGTTTTACCATGCCAGGTAGGTCGATGGAGAACGGTAAGATTAAAAGCAGCAACCCAAAGTCTGAGGGCGAATTCGTACTGCTGACTGTAGAGGGGCGTGAGAGCAGATGTTTTCCTCGGACAACCAACATCTGCAGCGATGCTGCCTTCTCACAAGGAAGGAGGGGTTAGAAAAGATCGACCGTAAGAATGTCACACCTTACCTCACGGATTTCCGTCTCGGGCGGTAAGGCCTTTTGAATAACGCAGCTAACACATTAAAAACCTCCTACAAAAAGACCGTGCCTGACAGACCTCAAGCCATCGATGTGTACTGCATCTCCGAGCAGCGTCATTCATTTGACCTCATCATATCAAAATAAAGAACCAAATCGATTCATACCTCGTGTATAGGGAAGCCCCGATGTTGCTTCCCATGGCCTCGCTGGTGTAGGTTCATGATCTCAATTAAAACTAAACAATTTCCACAACCCTATACTGATAACTAAAAACATATATATATAGAATGCTCAAAATACGAGGCAACTTTATAAACCATAACATGAAATATGAATGCTTGACGTAGGATAGATAGAACTAAGTCTGACAGTTATGAAATTCAGATTATCATAAATTCTAAATAACAAAACTAATCACTTTAGTCAATACTACATGAGTATGAGAACACAGAGTAAAGAATGTTGAACATGATTGTATAAATTGATTTCTTTTTACACAGATTGACATGAATTGAGTCAGCAATAAAATACAGGTAGCATCGGATAACACTACATATAATCTTAGCTCAGAGAGTCGAGAAGCCGAAGGAGGAGAGGAAGACCAAAGAACACATTATGTCGGGAAATGGAGATAGACAGGACAGGACAGAGTGGGTTGGAGAATGCTGGTCGGCGGCCTATGCTCCATTGGGAGTAAGAGGCGCAAGTAAGTAAGTAGTAAGCATCGGATAAATGTTTTCACCTAGTTTAGTATTATTCTTTAGTTAACCTGGCCCGACAAATGTGACCTGAGAAATTACAGACTACATACATGTTGTGAGAGAGTTACTAATTAAAACTGCTGAGTCGGTGACCAATAGTTTGGAATCTATAATATAGGATAGAATCATCACGCGAAATCATCATATATTATTATCACCATTATTCGTCAGCTTGCACTTGACAGATTTTAGTTAAATAAGGATAATGTAGAACTATTTTCTGTACTTTCTTGTACATTTATAAGTTCAAGATGTAGTCGATCATAGTGTCATCAAAGAAATAATGAAGAGTCCCACAATAGGACAAAACAGTCGTCCAGTACTTCCAAGTTTTTCATGGTGGTCTAGCTTCAATCGATTCATGATCTCAACCATTGAAAATAATGATTTGTCAGCTAAAGTTTGAGATGAAATATGAGATCACAAAATAGTCACAACTTGATTTTCGTAAGACGATGACCGACAGAATTGTATTTCTAATTGAAGGCTGGTTCATTGAGTCCATTGGCTAAACCATTTAATAACATGTGGAAAACAGACAAGAAACTCTTACTCCTAACCACTTACCTAATAAAGGATTACCACCAGCACACATAGTTCTATTTGATTGACTAAATATCATTGTAGCATTTCCCTGATTTCTTTCAATGTTATGATGTTCAGATGAATTAACCAAGTGAAAGTTAACTCGAGCAGATCCAAGTAATGTAGGTTGAGATTGTTGAATGCCTTCATTATTCATCAATGTATGATTAGAGTCATCATCATCATTATGAAATGGAGAAGTATTTACTTTGTCATTTTCATTTTCAGATAATATGGATTCATTCAATCGTGTAGAATCAATACCAAGACGTTCCATTTTCTCAACTAGTTGTTTACGAAAACGATGAAGCATAAGATTTAAAGATCTATCAGCAAACTGTCAGATAAAAGAAATATGAAGAAATAGATAATATTAGTAATGAATGAAATGAAAGATATTATGGTGCAGAACTTCACTGAATGACATTTCTTGCTAAGAAATCCTCATACTTACTTACTTACGCCTGTTAATTCTAATGGAGCATAAGCCGCCAACCAGTACTCTCCAATTCACTCTGTCCTGGATCTTCTCTTCTAGTTCGAGCCAATTGTTGTTCATTCTTCTCATGTCTGTCTCTATTTCTCGATGTTCTTTGGTCTTCTTGTCCTCCTTCAACCTTGAGGATTCCATGTGAGGGCTTGTCTTATGATGCAGTTCGGTGCTTTCTTCAATGCGTGTCCTATCCACTTCCAGCGCCTCCTCCTGATTTCTTCCTCCACTGGGATCTGGTTTGTTCTCTCCCATAGTAGGTTGTTGTTAATAGTGTCCAGCCAACGGATCCGAAGTATTTTGCGTAGACAACTGTTAATAAACACCTGTATGTTATGGATAATAGCTTTCGTGGTTTTCCAGGCTTCCGCTCCATACAGTAGAACTGTCTTCACATTTGTATTCAAAATTCTGACATTGGTGTTGGTTGACAGAGAGTTGTTTTGAATTCCAGATGTTCTTCAGTTGTAAATATGCTGCTCTTGCTTTACCGATTCGCACCTTCACATCTGTATCAGATCTGTCGTGTTCGTCGATGATGCTGCCCAAATATGTAAAAGTTTTTACAACTTCTAAATCTTCTCCGTTAATTGTGAATGGATTCGTGCATGTTGTGTTGTACCGGAGAATCTTGCTTTTCCCTTTGCGTATATTCAGACCTATTACTGTTGAGGCTGCTACTACATTGGTCGTCTTCTCCTGCATTTAGTGTTGTGTTTGCGATAGAAAAGAAATACTCATCAATCTACAAAATCACTGACTCATTAGCTAGTTTGGTTATTAAAAAACAAAAGTCTGAATCAATCCACAGCTCAATTTATGAACATTGCTTATTCTATAGACGAAGCCCTTGTTAGATAAATTGGCGAAACTCTAATTTAAGGACGAGCCAATCAGAAGTGTTTGAGCCATTTCAAAATCACGGAGCCAAGTTTAACACATGATGCTCACGTACGATCGGTTTACAGCGGATCTTAGAGAAGAGGTTATTATTGAGAGGCTACAAGAGATGGGACTATTAGGAAGTTCTTTTACATGCGACTGCGGTTATCTAATGACTGCAGTAAAGTGTGTAGACCACCGCGGTGAGATTATATTCCGTTGTTCTTCATGTTGGAGGGAAAAGTCTGCTAGAACGTAGACTTTCTTCGCTCGATCGCGACTTAAATTGAGGCAGATCATGATAATAGTTGTGAATTGGGTAATAAAGACACCAGTAACACTGGCTGCGGCATTTGCAGATGTTACTGAAACTCCAGCAGTCCAGTGGTATAAGTACTGCCGTGACATATGCGCAACTAAAATGACAAGTATACACCAATCATTCGGAGGAGTAGGATGTATTGTGGAGATAGATGAAACGGTAATGAGAAGGCGAAAATACAACAGGGGACGTAGTATAAAGTTTGGGTAAGTAGCATTTTCGTTAATATACTTCACAGATACTTGGAATTTATGATAGATCTACTCGAAAGGGACATTTTCAGAAGGTCATAAACCGGCAAGCAACCACAATAATACAGGAATACATGCTGCCGGGCACTACGGTATATACGGATGACCGGAAAGCGTATAGATGTCTTTATAGACTTGGGTATGTCCATCATGTCGTAGTCCACAAACGTCATTTCGTCGACCCTACAACCGGTGTTCATACCAATAACATTGAAGCCATGTGGTCACGATTGAAAGAGTTTTTAAGACCGTATCATGGCTCCAGAGGTCGACTGTTATGGATTCATATGGATGAGTTTTTATACCGTATGCAATATGATTTTAAAACATTTGAACCTTTAGCAAACCTTCATAAGTTTTTAAATCATGTAAAAGAAGTATATCCCCTGTAATTCTTTAGTTTCTTTGAATATATTTTTACTTTATACTAACTGTCTTCTGATTGGCTAATATTCTCAAGGTCACTTAAAATTCGTTTAAAGGTCGTCCCTAAATTAGAGTCTCGCCAAGAATTGTGAATAGGAAGAATCATATAGAATATAAAAGACAAACGATGTATTCAATGCATGGTTCATATATTGTGTTGGTAGTGGGACATAGATTGGACTAAATCATGCTCAATGCACGATTGCGTTGGCGTACGCTGATTGGCTAGTTTTTATCCAATCAGCGCTAGTCGATACTTGAAGGATACTCTAGAATCTTCTCATGTAAAAAAACTATAAATCTACTAACGTTTTTCCTATTTGTACTTTTTACTTCCATCTACCTCTTGTTATTTGGAATATGATCATCTTTCCTGTTCAACTGTGTTCTGTGATTTGGGGACATGTCGAATGAATTGGTGTCCGAGACTAACTAAGCAATAAGAATAGCTGGGTTATAACCGTAAGCGAGAATATTATAAAAGTTGTCATGAAGTGTTTATATTATTTATTTATTTAAAAACACATAAACATTGATATAAGGAGGCACTAAATAGATATTCCCCACATAAATCATTCGATTTGTATGAAGACTGACCAAATCGAAGCAGATGGTATTTTAGTGGAGCCAAGAATCTCCAACTACTCGTGACTATCGTAACCAATGGTTGGAGATTCTTAGTGACATGGCTCAGAATCGATCACAATGGCGTCGGTGTATACACTCTCTGTCTTCCTTCAAACTATGAGATTAAAATTGTTTCATATCTCTCTACGTACTAATTCTTTCTTTATGTACTATCTCCATATATATGTAATCTTTCCTTGATATATTAGCACCATTGACTTAACTACTCCTATGAATCCGGTGTTCATCTTGTTGTGCTAATGCGGTATGGCAACATGGACCGATGCATATATGTGCCTGGTCCTACGTTGTAGCTGACTGACTGACTGAGTGAGGGTCACACCGAAAGTCTTCAAACCTAAAGATTTAATCCATAAGGCAGTGGTGGTGGTGATGGTGGGGGGGCGAATCATCATTATTGATATGAATAACAAAGAGGATAGAATACATTATTTATTACAATATTCAATAAAAAAAGAAACTAACTTTTGACATTGAATCAACTAAATTTAATAATTCTTTATGAATTTGTATATTTTCAGTAGAAGGACGTAATTGAAAAATCATACGTAGATATAATTTAGCTTCAGCTGATTGAGGTGCTTTTAATACTTCAGTAGACAAAATTGATACTAAACGATCATGATGTGGATTAATCTTCAAAAAAATTAATTGTACATTTTGTTTTAAACAAAATACAAAAAAAAACAAAAAAAAGTAGTACATTACAAAACTTAACATGAACTTAAAATGAGGATACTGAGTATTATTGTGATCTTTAAGATGAATGGACGTATTGTGTAGTTTTCATTGTTCTACCTAACATTTAGTTATAATTTACCATTCTGAGACAAAAAGTAAGTTGGAAGAAAGTGAGGGACGGACAAACTAAGATGTAACACTAGTCTACAGTCATTAGCAATTGAGCCAAGCCATGTGAATAGGTGTAAACTACCTGTTTGTGGTCTGCATCATAGTCGTTACCAATAAATAGAAATTTGAAAGACACGGATCAGGATCGTTCTCTATGGAGGAGTTACACTCATTATTGCCCCCCAAATGCCCTGGTACTGCTCTCCCTCTCGAAATGCTCTCACATGGCCACGCGTATACAGCCTTCGCCAGCGAAGACCTAATCATTGACTTCTTGCGGCATTACTGCTGTTTACGAAATTTAGAGGACGAAAAGCGTATGTCCGGAGCATTAAAAGGGTTGATGGATATGGAGAGTCCACCTAGGTGAGTTGAAAAACCCTGATTCCAAACGAATGCTCCACATGGGCTCCAGTATCCTGAAGGAATAAATGGCATATGAACCAGTCGTTGGTCGCCGGCTACCATGGGAATGCATCTCCTTACGATTCTCCACTGCATTGCGGATCAGACGTTCAGTTTAAAGGCTCAGGGTGTGGTTCCCTAAGAAGACCACCTGTTTCGGCACCTGGGCAGTATCACAGCCGTTGTACAAATCGAATGAGATTTGTGTAGCGCATATACATTTGATGCCTCCTTGTACACTCACTATTTGTTTCCTGTAGAACCCGAGTTCCGAAATCTACTTACATCTTTTCTCATTCTCTCTATTTACTCTTTCTTACTACCCCTGAGACTGTTGTCACTTTTAAAATTGTAGGATTTGTCTCGAAACGATTTCGTCTCATTGTGCTAATTTGGTGTGACAACTTGAACCAATGTATATATTTGTCAGGTCTTATGTTACATAAAGCTGTCTGATTGAAAAAAACCAACTCAACATGTTAGTAAATTGTCGACAGATCCTAACGGTTCACTTCTCTTCGAGGTATGTGCTGATAATATTGTTCAGAAGGAGATCACAACAACACCAACAAAAACGGTATGATATAGTAATTATTGTTATAGGTTGCGGGAATATAGTACATGATAATCATTGAGGTAATAAAATGCAATCTTGTAAAATAGTGTCAGTAGTATTTCAAAATAAGGATAGCACCAATGATAGTGAACAGTAGTTAGAAAATAGGATTCCCGACAGTTGTTGCTACCTTGACGTGGTGGTCGGGCGGGCTTGCCTATCGTCATCAAGCAACTGAGCTATACTGGCTACAACAACCGTTCCTCAAGGTCATACCATGCCAGACAGGTCAGTTGAAGAGCGGTAAGACTAAAAGCAACAAAACCAAGATCCGAAGGCGAAGTCGTACTGCTGACTGTACAGAGGCGTGACAGCAGTAAGGTGTTTCCTTCAGACAACCAGCATGACAGTGATGTTGCTTTCCCACAAGGAGTGGTGCAGTGGGGTTAGAAAAGGTCGACCCTAAAAATACACACCTCGCCTTATCCCACGGATATCCGTCTCCGGCGATAAGGTGTCAACAAGTACGGATCTAACACAAAAATTACTCATAAAAAGGTCGTATGTGACCGACCTCAAGCAGTTGTACCTTGGGCACTGCGGTCACGCTCTCAGGTCACTATGACCAACTCTAATCCAATTTCCTTTTCAGGTACCTCCTCCTCCTCCTCTCCAGAAAACAGGATTGATTAGAGCGATAATAATTAAGAAATAATATCGGAAGTCAGAGTCTTGTGACATGATAAAGAATGAATACATCTGTGATTACCTTCATGATAGATTCGGAGTCTCGTTAGATCTTTAACCGCTGAAGAATGGATATACTAATATAAGGTACCAAAAACATGGAATGCATACATTAATGATAAAAGTATGTACTTCGTACACCATTCAATACATGATAGGTATTTTATTTGAATTTTACAGGGGCAAAAATAACCATATCACAGTATCTGATCTAAGGTTCGTTATTAAAAAACTGATCGATTTGTAGTGCGTATCATTAAAACTTTACAAAAGAGTAATACAATTACAGTTTAGTTTAATTGACAGTTATCTAGGCACCTTGAAATGTTCAATTTACTTATGAAAGATGAAAAAAAAAAATAGCAATAAGTTGAGAACAAATTCATAAACTATTTTGATTGATTGTATTGGCTCCATAAATAATACTCTTTACAGGATTGAACGTTCATACAAAGTGGTAAACGATGAAAGTGATTAGCAAGTACAAATCCAATATATATTACTTATATGAGATTTGATTCAAATAAAGCTATCCTAATACTAAGAAAAAGAAGTTACTCGATTAGGTTATGAAACAAAAAAAAAGCCCTCAAATGCCCTGGTACGGCAGAGAGTGAGGAGAGTCCGGCTCTCCCTCTCCAAATGCTTTCACATGGACACGAGTATATAGCCTCTACCAGGGAAGTCCTACTCACTACCTTCTCGTGACGGGGGTGTTCTTTACGAAAATGAGAGGACGAAAAGCGAATGTCCGGCGCTTTAACCGAATCCCAAACCAATTGTGCACATGGGCTGGCTGCAGTATCCGGCTTGAGGGAACAAATGGCGTATGAACTAATCGTTCGTCACCGGCTACCATGGGACTGCATCTCCTTACGATGCTGCACTGCCTTGTCGGTCAGACGTTCATGTCGAAGGCTCGGATTGTGGCCCCCTAAGAAAACCACGTGCTTCGGTTTGAGCACCCGGACAGTATCACAGATCCCACACATATCCAATGAGATCTGTGTGGTGCCTCTTCGTATCAACAAAAAAAAACTTACAATTTTTTCATCCATTTGTCCAATTGATGATATTGTTTTTGATTTATTTGAATATGGACGTGAATCTTCATTATCCTCATTGATATGATCATTTTTTCCTTCTTGATTACTTGTTAAATTTTTACTCTCTGATCGATTTTTTAAATGAGTAGTATCAGTTAAACGTGCTAATAAACTAGCTACATCATTTGGTTCAACTTCAGATAAAGATGATGAAGCTGGTGCACGTATTAATGTAGTTAATGTTGGTAAAACAGCATTAGTAAGTGCTGATTGATGTTCAAATGCATCCATTCCAATACCATTAGCACAAGCATAATCTGCAAAGAAATATGCTAAACCACGACGAAGTTGTGGAGTTTCTTCACTAATTGGATTAAACCATAATAATAATAATAAACTAAGTATATGACTTGAAACAATACGATCATAAATTAATAATTTAGCAAGACCAAGTGCACTAGTTGAACGTAATCCATCATCAGACTAAAGAGATAAGAAAAGGAACAAAAATACAACACATATAAATAGTATGATGTAATCATTTTATTTCCTGATACCTCTCTAACTGTTTATAACCATATTTACACAAATTTATAAAATTCATTAAAATTCCCAGCTGGAGCCCCTCTGGTGTTACTGCCGGTCTCATGTCCAGATGAAGAAGGAGGGTTGGGGTGGGTTGAGGGACCCCATCCAGTAGAAAACTAACTTGCGAAAAAACGCTAACCAAAAAACATATTTAAAAAAAAGAGATTCCAAAAATGATTGTTATACAAAGAATTGGAAATATATATCGTAATATAGTGAACAGTAATTGTATATTTCAGTTCAAGCAACTGGATATTAATGTGTGTAAGTTCCAATAAAGCTAGGGGCGGCCAGACAAAAACATGGCACAAATCCATGAAGTCACTGACAAGTGAACTGAGAGAGCCATGTTGGTAGGTATAGACTATCTGGTCGGGGACCGCGAGACGATAGCAACCGATGGTTAGATACCTTGAATGACATGGCTCAAAATCGTTTGCAATAGTGCAGGTGCATTCACTGTTTGTGTTCTCCCGATTTTTAAGCTTCCAAAATCTTTATGTCCCGTTTTTTCTCTTTCCAAATTTATTTTACTGGTTTACGAATAACATCTTTAAACCCTAGTGTTTCCGATTACTGCTTATACTCATACTACCTCTACCACTATGGGATTTGAATCGACAATTGTATCTCTGTTCTAATGTGGTATGACAACTCGAACTGATTTACGTACGTACGAAGTTTCACGTTGTTGACTGACTGAAACTTCTTCTTCCTGATCTACAGTATATCTTGTAATCTATGCATTTTATGCAGAAGATTTGTACTTAACTATGAGAATAATAGTTTCTCTAACCCCCCCCGAAAAAAACAACTCAACTTTCAACTAATGCGTTGTGCATTTGAATACCAATGATTCAATCAAAATTACAATTACAAATCATAAACATGACCTATTTTGATAATGAGTGAGACTGTACGTGGTGGTTACAACAGATATGGGTAATGCTTCTAAGAAAATTTTCAGTCGTAATAGACTCACAGTCTAAAGGTTTAAGTGTTTCAACACAGTCACTCCTAAATTTTACCTTCTGCATTGGGATTTGATCATCTACACAGTATTGTTCTATTATCCTTTCTATAGTATTAGTCTATTTATTTATGTAAACACATAAACATCAGAACAAGGAGGCACTGAATAGATATGCGCCACAAAAATCATTTGATTTGCATGAGGGCTGAGATGCTGCCCGGGCGTCCAGACCGAAAGAGGTGGTTTTCTTAGGGGCCACACTCGGAGCATTTGACATAAAGGTCTGACCCACAACGCAGTGGAGCAACGTCAGGAGATGCACTCCCATGGTGACCGGTGATCAACGATTGGTTCATACGTCTTTTGTTCCTTCCGGATCATGGAGTCCATGGGCACTATTGGTTTAGACTCAGAATTTTTCAACTCACCTAGGTGAACTGTCGGTGTCCACCAACTTAGTTAAAGCACCGGACACTCTTTTCGTCCTCTCAATTTCGTAAGCAACACCCCCCACCGCGAGAAGGCAGTGATTAGGACTTCCCTGGAAGTGGTTGTATGCACGTGACCATGTGAGAGTATTTCGAGAGGGAGTTGACTCTCCCCACTCTTGGTGGTACCAGAGTATTTGGGGGGCGGGGGGAGTTACAGGCTCATATAACCTCATCACCTAAACCTAAATAATCCATTATATTCTATTTTGAAAATAACAACCAGCAGATAAACTAACTAGTTAATTATCTACTATTCGATAGAATTATCTATATAATTAATTTATCACAAACTGTTTATAAGATAATCCAAATAATCTCAAATCTCTCAGGGGGGGGCGAGATTGTGGATGCGTACTGCCAAGGAGGAGTCCCATAATAGGATGAAACGTCCGTTTAGTACTTCCAAGTTTTCCATATTGGTTTAACATCAACTGACTCATGATCTTAACCATTGAAAGTTAATTCAGTGTTGAAATAAACAAACAAATTTTTTTTTTCAATTTTCATTTTTACCTCTTTTTCCAAAAGTGAAGTGATTGGTTTTAATAAACGATAAGCTGTTTTAGACATTTCATCACATCGAACTAATATACCTTGTGGATAATTATGAGATTGATTGGTAGAATCTTGTGAAGATTGTCTTGTGAGTACAGCATAATCATGTTTAGCTGTAGAAAAAAAAAAACAAACAAAAAATGTGAATAGAATACATTGGAAAATTCATTTCATTTAAGATGAAGTTATGTTCTCTTAGATGGATGGTTTGGTCGTGAAGCTTTCATCGTTCTTCTGAACGACATCATCATCTGTACAAACTTCAGATAGATAGACTGCCATTTGTAGTTTGTGCTGATGATGATGTCGTTCAGAAGAACGATGAAAACTTCACAACCAAACCATTCAGTTCAGAGAACAAAACTCCATCAAAATCATTCACCTGAGCTACAAATCTTCTCCACTATCATTTCATTTATTTTCTTTCTTTCTGTACTATCTGCTTATATGCAATCTTTCTTCTATATATTACTACCACGGAATTAACTACTTCTATAGATCCGGTGTTCATCTTGTTGTGCTAATGCGGTATGGCAACTTGGATCGATGCATATATGTGTCTGGTTCTACGCTGTAGCTGACTGACTGAATCATTCAAAAAGACTGATATTTAAAGAAACTTATTGAATTTTCCTAAACAGACAAATCAACATCAACTCTCATGATATATATAGTGCTGGTTTAAATAGGACTAGATTAAAGAAAACAGCTAGAGGGGATTAAAACAAGATATTGTTAATTATTTTGTATATTTTTACCATGATACACATATGGTGTGACTGTTTGAATCGATCCACATTTGTTCTAAGACAAACTTTACACTTATGACTGACTGGGCAGTATCATCGATGAACACGATGGATCTGATGCAGATGTGAAGGTGTGAATCGGCAAAGCAAGAGCAGCATATTTACAACTGAAGAACATCTGGAATTCAAAACAACTCTCTGTCAACCAACAGCAATGTCAGAATTTTGAATACAAATGTGAAGACAGTTCTACTGTATGGTGCGGAAGCCTGGTAAACCACGAAAGCTATTATCCAGAACATACAGGTGTTTATTAACAGTTGTCTACGCAAAATACTTCAGATCCGTTGGCCGGACACTATTAGCAACAACCTACTGTGGTAGAGAACAAATCAGATCCCAGTGGAGGAAGAAGCGCTGGAAGTGGATAGGACTCACATTGAGGAAAGCACCGAACTGCGTCACAAGACAAGCCCTCACATGAAATCCTCAAGGTTGAAGGAGAAAAAGAAGACCAAAGAACATCGAGAAATAGAGACAGACATTAGAAGAATGAACAACAATTGGATAGAACTGGAAAGACGCAGGACATAGTGGGTTGAAGAATACTGGTCGGTGGCCTATGCTCCATTTGGAAGTAAAAGGCGTAAAGTAAATATGACAATAACAACAAAAGAATTTATCGTCAATTATCAATTCCATTTACCAAACATGTTATTCATATTTTTAACTCAAATTTTGGGAGTAATGTTTCAAATTATTTTCTAAATAATTGAAGGTTATGCAACAGTAATGATGATTGAGATAATGGAATTGATTACTTTAATCATATTCAAACTTCAGAACAAACAGACAAAATATTAAGCTCAGAAAATATGACATCTTTTATAGAACAAATAAATAATGAGGAATAGAAATAATGATCATAAAACAATCAATTATCATCCAAATGCCTTTGTACGGCCGAGAGTGAGGAGAGTCCGCTCTCCCTCCCGAAATGCTCTCATATGGCCACGCGTATATAGCCTCTGCCAAGGAAGTCCTACTCACTGACTTCTCATGGTATTACTTTTGTTTACCAAAATGAGAGGACAAAAAGCGAATGTCCGGCACTTTAACCGGATCCAAAACCAATGGTGCACATGGGCTGGCTCCAGTATCCTGCCTGAAGGAACAAATGGCGAATGAACCTATCGTTGGTCACCGGCTACCATGGGACTGCATCTTCTCAAGATGCTCCATTGCCTTGTGGGTCAGACGTTTAGGTCGAAGGCTCAGGGTGTGACCCCCTAAGAAAACCACCTGGTTCGGTTTGGGCACTCGGACAGTATCACAGCCCTCACACAAATCAATTGAGATTTGTATGGCGCATATGTATTTGGTGCCCTCTTGTACCAATATCTATGTGTTAAAATAAATAAATGAAACATCAACTTACATGATTTCATATTCTGTTCTTCTTCATCATCATCATCATCATCATCTTCATCAACAACAATAGTATCAGTTGGTACTAATCGACTATTTGGATTAATATTAGCATCATGAAATGGACGAAATCCATAAATAAGTAAACAATCAATAATACAACCTAATGCTGTTTCACTAATCATCAAATGATCCACACGCATAGCCTAGAAAACATACATAGAATATTTAAAAAAAAGAAAAGAATTATAGACTGAGAATTGTTAACCTGACTCTAAAATGAAAAAAAAATCTTTTGTATCCAGGGATACATATCCAATCTTAAGAGTAACCTGTAAATTCATGTGATGAGACATATCATAGATTGTAAACTGTATAGACTTAGCGACTGAACTATATATAATTTATGTCACAATTAGTGATACTATGCGATTGCCCGAAATGAAGAAGGTTAACTCCATACCCGGTTAGTTGAAACCTAAATAACTTCACTATTAAGTTATTACATTAAAAGATATGTGTTAAAGTTTTTATAGATCGGATGTTTCAACTGATATATTATCAGAATAAGGATTTGTGTTGATTGTAGTTATTTCAATAGTTGCATTCATGAGTCAGGCGATCTAATCTAGACCACTAGTGAAAAATTGGAAGCACTGGACAGTCGTTTCATCCTAGTATAGGACTCCTCAGTAGTGTGTATATACGATGCCATCTCGCGAGATTCAAACACTCTTCAATGACTGACTTTAAGATGGATTTTCTGGAGTTCTAGTGGGAAACCATGAGCTGTGGAGTCCAATTTGTGTTAGCTAGAGATAGATATCTATCTCAGATAATGAATGAATGGTCACAAACTGCTGAGAAGTCCCATACTAGGAAGAAACGATGGTCTAGCTTAGATCGACTCATGAATTCAACTATTCAAATTAATATAATTACCCAATAAAGAAACTCACTGAGTAAAACACATGAATATATTGTAATGTCAATGGTAAATCCATTGTACAACAAAGACCCAAAGCTAATATGGCTTGATTACGAACAGCAACGTCAGGATGTTGCATACTTGGCAATATCTAGGGGATAAAAAACAAAAACAGGAACAAAAAAACTATGATAAAAATTAAACTCATTATTCCATAACTTTATGCATTTTTTATCAGATGATTGAAAAAGTCAAGAGTTGACCTGGTGACAACAGTTGATTGTAGCTGTTACTTTGCTCCCAAATGCCCTGGCACGGCTAAGAGTGGGGAGATTCCGCTCTCTCTCTCTCTCTTGAAATGCTCTCACACGGCCACGCATATACAGCCTCTGCTAGGGAAGTCCTACTCACTGACTTTTCGTGGCATTACTGTTGTTTACGAAAATGAGAGGACGATAACCGAATGTCCGGCAATTTAACCGGACCCCAAATCAATGGTGCACATCGGCTACAGTATCCAGAGGGAACAAATAGCGTATGAACCAATCGTTGGTCACCGGCTACCACAGGACTGCATCTCCTCACGATGCTCCATTGCCTTGTGGATCAGACCTTCAGGTCGAAGGCTCCGGGTGTGACCCCCTAATAAAACCACCTGCTTCGGTTTGGGGACGCGGTCAGTATCGTAGCCCTCACACATATCGAATGAGATCTGTGTGGCGCATATATATTTGGTGCCTCTTTGTACCAAAATCTATGTGTTAAAGTAAATAAAAAGCTGTTACTTTGATATGATGGTCAGACTTCTTTTTCGTAACAATACAACTATATTAATCCAAATATTCATTCCTTAAAGTTCTACTATATGATGTGGATCAGTTGGAGAACGGTAAGATAAAACAGAGAAATTTAAGGTTTAAGAGAGAAGTCGTACTGTTGAATGTACTGGAGAATGTGTGGGATGATGTTATTTTCTGATAATTGGCCACCTCAACTATAATGCCTTCCTAGAAAGTAAAAAGGGATTAAAAGTGAGGGTTAATAACATAAATCTTCTTGCTCTGCAGATATGCCTGGAAAAGCACAAAGATACATTGAAAATTGATAGTAAAAGGGACATGGGTTGTTAGTCTCAAACAGTTGTTTCTCCTTTGTAGTCACGCTCCCAGGTAGCCGAAAAACATCATTTAGTATCCTTTTTTCCCAGGTTGCTTACGGAAAGGAATTCTTCCGAGGTGTTAAAAACCAGGAAGTGACAACCTTCTCATATTGCTAACAACACTCGCGTTCATCTTGATAGTGACAATAATCAATCACTAAGACAGAAAATCTGAATAGTAGTGTAAAAATAAATAACAACATTTAGCTCCTAACATAATAAACACAAAATATTTCATAGTATATATAAGAATGTGTCGGTATGTATATTATATGCGACGAAAAACATACTAAACTATCCAATAGTGAACGCAGTGAAGCTGGCAAACTCCATAAAGTAGGAGATTGTTGTATAATTAAAGCAGCCATTCTGTTTGCTTTAAATAATACAGATGATGAACAACGTTTAATAAGAGTTTGTGTTGCATCTTCAACTGCATCGACTTCGTTATCATCATCTCCATCATTTTTATCATTATTTATACCTCCATCGGCGTTTAAATCTTCTTTATTTTCATTCTTAATCTGTTCATCAGATCCTGATGACGGTGAAACAGGAGGTTTATCTGCTCTGTAAAATAAAAAAAACAGGAGAGGTTAACAAAAGTGTAAAATTATAAATCTTATGTCATAGACTTGATGATATTTAGTGATAACGCGTAGGTGTTTGTAGTGAAAGATATTGGATTTGAGACATAATGAACATACATACTGGAATGAATCCCAAATAAGGCAAAACATGCATTCCAGATTCCACTGTTAGTCATAATTCATCCTATTATATAAAAGATAATATATTTTCGGATTGTTCTTTAGAATGAGCTATTTTAGCTAGGGGCAGCCAGACCAAAACATGGCACAAATCCATGAAGTCACTCACAAGTGGACTGAGCCATGTTGGCAGATGTAGACTACCTGGTTGGGGACCGCGAGATGATAGCAACCGATGGTTAGAGATCTTGAATGACATGGCTGAAAATCGTTTGCAATGGCGCAGGTGCATCTACTCTCTATTTTCTTTCAAACTCTAATCTTCTGAATTCTCCATGTCCTTTATTTTCTTTCCAAATCTATTCCACTGGATTATACTCCTTAAATAACATCATCAAACCTTAACGTTTCCTGTCACTACTTATACTTTCATTACTCTGCCACTACGGGATTTGAGACGATAACTGAATCTCTGTGCTAATGTGGTATGGCAACTCGAACTGATGTACGTACGTACGAAGTTCCACGTTGTTTCTGACTGACTGAATGACATCAATAAATGATCTGCTTACATACAACAGCCTGGAAAACCACGAAAGCCATTATCCAGAACATACAGGTGTTTATTAACAGTTGTCTACGCAAAATACTTCGGACCCGTTGGCCGGACACTATTAACAACAACTTACTGTGGGAGAGAACAAATCAGATCTCAGTGAAGGAAGAAATCAGGAGGAAGAGCTGGAAGTGGCATAAGACACACATTGAGGAAAGCACCCAATTGCGTTACAGGACAAGCCCTCACATGGAATCCTCAAGGTTAAATAAAGGAGAAGAGGATGACCAAGGAACACATTAGTCGAGAAATGGAGATAGACATGAAAAAAATGAACAAGATTTGAATGGAATTAGAAAAGAAGGCCCAGGACAGAGTGGATTAGAGAATGCTGGTCAGCGGCCTATGCTCTATTAGGGGTAACAGGCGTAAGTAAGTTTAATGCAACAGGAGATAAGAGTAAATTTTGCGAGTAACACTTCGTCCGTAAGTTCTAGCAATAGATCAGAAGAAAATCAAAACTTATCCAGAAATCATCAACATATATCAGATGAGGAAAAATGTACATTAGTCTGGATGGTAATGTTACACTTAATTAGGTCACCTAAATGAAAATTCTACACAACTTGTTTATCCTATGCTATTTATTTTATTTTATTTTAACACATAAGTATAGGTACAGGGAGGCACCAAATATATATGCGCCACACAAATCTCAATTGATTTGTGTGAGGGCTGTGATACTGCCCGGGTGCCCAAACCGAACCAGGTGGTTTTCTTAGGGGGCCACAATCCGAGCCTTCGACCTGAACGTCTGACTCACAAGGCAGTGGAGCATCGTAAGGAGATGCAGTCCCATGGTAGCCGGTGACCCACGATTGGTTCATACGCCATTTGTTCCCGCAGGATACTGGAGCCCATGTGCACCATTGATTTGGGGTCCGGTTAAAGCGCCGATTGTTCGCTTTTTGTCCTCTCATTTTTGTAAACAACACCCCCACCACGAGAAGGCAGTGAGTAGGACTTCCCTGGCAGAGGCTATATACGCATGGCCATGTGAGAGCATTTCGAGAGAGAGAGCGGACTCTCCCCACTCTCGGCCGTACCAGGGCATTTGGGGGCTATCCTATGCTAACCGGTTCACTAATACGTCACTGAGAGATCGACAAAGTACTTCGAATAAGCAATTAAATGGAGGTATATATATATATATATATATTCAACTGCTTTTGTAAGCTTATATATATATATATATATATATATATATATATATATATATATATATCATTTATCAAAAGATTTTTTCCCAATCGATAAAAAGTACGATAATGCTCGTGATGACAATCAGTTCATCATTCGTGTTTTCATATTATGATACGGTAAAAATTATATGGTATGAAAGTAAAATTACACTGACACGTTTACTCCCAGTCATATAAAGTAGATTCTATTTGAAAGATAATGTTTTGGTGAAAAATCATGTCTTTTTACTTTGACCAAAACAAACAAACAAGCAAACAAAACATATCATTTATTATTGATCTATTGAATCATAGGCATTTTTATGTTCCTTCAAATGGCTTAAGTTGTTATTTGATTGGGCTTTCAGAGAACTAGTCTGTATATAAATACTGTGAAAACTACGATGAGTAAGTGATCCTGGAATCATTACCTATATGGTAATGGAATTGAGTATATAATCATCTCTGTTTATTTATTTATTTATATTTATAATAATACATAGATATTGGTACAAGGAGGCACCAAGTACATATGCGCTACAAAAATCTCATTTGATATGTGTGAGAACTATGATACTGGCCGGGTGTCCAAACCGAAGCACGTGATTTTCAACCTGAAGATCTGATCCACAAGGCAGTGGAGCATCGTAAGGAGATGCAGTCCTATGGTAGACGGTGACCAACGATTGGTTCATACGTCATTTATTCCCGCAGGATACTGGAGCCCATGTGCACCATTGATTTTGGGATCCGATTAAAGTGCCGGACATTCGCTTTTCGTCCTCTTAATTTCGTAAACAACACCCCCGCAACGGGAAGGCAGTGAGTAGGACTTCCCTAGCAGAAACTGTATATGCGTGGCCATGTGAGAGCATTTGGAGAGGGAGAGCGGACTCTCCTCACTCTCGGCCATGCCAGAGCATTTGAGGGCTCTCTGTTGAATAAATCAGATTTTGCAGCGAAAATACTCTAATCTATAGTTAATAAAAATCCGAGTGGAAACCTTGAAAAATTCATAAGCTAAATAAAACCATCATATTTATTTAGGTTTCTTTAAGTTATTATAGACAAATTGGCTAATGAAAGGTAAAACATGTTATAAACGTTCCTTCAGTTAAACAGTTTCATCGTCACATCCATGTTGCAGAATAAATCTATACACTATAATGCAATGTAATGCAATTCATTTACCAATTAAACGTTCAAGTAATCAGCTTTGAGTTATAATTATTTTTAACTGAAACTTAGTGATATTACTTGGCTTCCTCAAACCGAAGTAAGTAAGTCAATCAGTAACAACGTGGAACTTTGTACGTTCGTACATCAGTTCGAGTTGCCACACCACATTAGCACAGAGATGCAGTTGTCAATTCAAATCCCGTAAGTAGAATGGGATTTTAACCTATTGGTAGAAATTCATAAGTTTCAAACAAGTAAGTCATTGTGCTTCAAAAACATCAAATTACAGAGTATAATAATCTCATTTGAAACTACATATGATAGTGTAATGATATTCAATTCATCCATGATCTCAGTTAGTCGGTCAGCTACAATGTAGGACTAGACACACTTCATTAGCACAACAGGATGAACATCGAATTCATAAAAGTACCTAATTCAATGGTGGTAATATGTATAAAAGAAAAATTGCATATAAGGACATAGTACAGGAAGAAAGAATTAGTTCGTAGAAACAAAGATATAAAACAATTTTAATCTCATAGTTTAAGGGAAGATAGAGAGTGTATACACCGAGTCCATTGTGATAGATTCTGAGTCACCTAGATTCCCTAAACCATTGGTTACGATATTTACGCAGACTCCGACTAGGTGGTCTACATCTACCAACATGGCTCAGATCAGAAGATACTGATTTCAAGCATTGATGCCCCCATTTTAGTTTGGCCGCCCCTAACTTTCTTTCAACCAACCCCAACACTAGTTAGTATGATGTGATCCACTGTCAATCTGACGTTAAAAAATGTGATTTATACATTCAGCAGGAACATTTTTTTTTCTTCAAATTATTGATTGTCATCATACATATCAGCATGAACAATAAAACATCAACAACAAAATTAATCAAAAGAAAAACACAATAAACTCACAATACTCCAATATTTCCACGTAATTCTTGTAATAATTCTGTACGTTCTATATCTAATTTATTACAAGCATCACGAAGTTCAGTTGCACGTTCAAATTCTTTACGTGATACACAATCATGTAATGCTTCATTAAGTTCATTCATACGAACTTCAAGACTAGCAATCTTATTGTTTATATTACAATAATAAAAAGAAAAAAAGAAAGATATATGAAAGTAATAGGTTGTTTGAACACATAGATATTGGTACAAGGAGGTACTAAATACATATGCAACACACAAATCTCATTTGATATGTGTGAGGGCTATGATACTGCTCGGGTGCCGAAACCGAACCAGGTAGTTTACTTAGGGGGCCACACCTCAAGCTTTTGACCTAAAGGTCTAACCCACAAGACAATGGAGCATTGTAAGGAGATGCAGTCCCATGTTAGGCGGTGACCATTTATTCCTTTAGGATACTGGAGCCAGCCCATATGCACCATTGATTTTGGGATCCGATTAAAGTGCCAGACATTCGCTTTTCGTTCTCTCATTTTCGTAAACAACATTAATGCCATGAGAAGGCAGTGAGTAGGACTATCCTGGTAGAGGCTGTATATGAGTGGCCATGTGAGAGCATTTCTAGAGGGAGAGAGGACTCTACCCACTCTCGGTCATACCAGGGCATTTGGGGGCATAAAATAAATAAATCTAATTTGATTGCTTGTTTATATGATTATGCAACTATTTGATGATTGAATCACATTCATTTATAGATTCAATATTGTGTTGTTATGATGTTTTAATTTACTCAATTCAACTTTCAAAGATGTAGTGAAGACAATTTACTGTTTATCTGAATTATTCACTTTAATAAATTTCTTGATTAAGAGAGCATAACAAGTTGTCATATACAATAGATAATTAATTAAGATTAGGAGGTTATAATAGGTTGAGGTGAATTCACACATATCACTTGTCTATACTCATATATTGTTATAAATCCATTCGCTAAGCTAGAAATAATGGTATACTTGGTGAATGTTTTAGATAGTATACCTGGAACAGAGAGATTTATATACAAACCAGTGGGTGGTGTGCAATTTTATTCGATTGACAACTACAGTTTTTATTATTATTATTATTATTATTCATAAATAGCTTATGGGTAAATAAATGTTGTGAAGAAACTGTTTTGGGTTTCTTTAGAAATACAATAATACACACGTTTCAATATTACCATATTTGATAAGAAAAACAGGTTCTGTGTTAATTGAGAAGAATATTGAGTTGACTTTAAAGAAATGGAGAAAATAAAGGAAACGCGATATATGTAAATAGGTTAATAAGCGTGTTTGTGCACATAGAACAAGAATAAGCGATTATGTATGTCAATCAGTCAACTACAATGCAGGACCAGGCACATATATGCATCCGTCCAAGTTGCCATATCTCATTAACACAACAAAATGAACACCTAATTCATAGAAGTATTCAAATCGTTGGTGGTAATTCATATATGAAGCGACTTTTTTCTCTTAGTTTAAGGGAAGACAAAGAATATATACACATACACTATTGTGATCGATTCTGAGCCAGGTCATCTAGAATCTTTAACCATTGTTTACGATAGTCACGCGGTCCCCTACCGAGTAGTTGGTATCTACCAACATGGCTAAGACTAGAAGTTAGTGACTCCAAGGACTGATACCATGTTTTGGTTTGGCCACCCCCAACTTTCTTCCAACCATCTCCAACACTAGTCAGCATTGTGCGTCGTGGTAATCGGTGTTCAGGCATACCATCTCAGTCGATGAAGATTCAGTCAATGACAACGTGGAACTTCGTACGTACATACATCAGTTCGAGTTGCCATACCGCATTAGCACAGAGATTCAGATATCGATTGAAATCCCACTGTGGTAGAGGTAGTGAAAGTATAAGTAGTGATAGGGAACATTAGGGTAGTCTACATCTACCAACATAGCTCTCTCAGTCCACTTGTCAGTGACTTTATGGATTTGTGCTATGTTTTGGTCTGGCTGTCCCTAGCTTTCTTCCAACCAACTCCTACACCATAAAACATCGCACATCGGAGAATTCGGTGGTCGGGCATACGTAACACATGTCCCAGCCATCTCAAATGATGAAGTTTCACTAATACATCAATTGATTCGCCATCCTTAACTAGTACCCATTTCCTAACAACTGAGTTACTTACTTGATGGTCCCAGGATATACGAGAAATGTTTCGAAGATATCTGTGATCAAATACTAGTAATCTACGAATATCCTCTACTCTTACTGGCCATGTTTCACTGCCATAAAGTAGGACGGAACGAACTGCTGCACAGTAAACACTTCCTTTGGTTGATAGACGGATATCTCGCCTACGCTATAAATGATGCAAGTTGGCAAAAGCTAGTCGAGCCTTCTATATCCGTGCTGTGATTTCGTCACACACCAGACCACAAGGGCTGATGAGACTTCCGAGATAAGTGAAGTGGTGGATACGCTCAACTACTTCACTCCCTATCAACTTTTATATAAGTATCCTTCATACGCTTTTTGAGAACATTTTTTATGTTGTGTAATATTTCTTTGTGTTTTAATAATTACATAAAATTCACCTGATAATGATAATAATACAGAAACGGTGCAAGTGCATGAAAAAAGCGTATGTGCTAGAAAAAAGTTACCACTCATTAGTTGAAAGCAATACGTTTGAATTTGAGTTACACTTTACGTATAAAGGCTTACAACACAACTCAACCACATTCCAACCAAAAGAGATGAAGTAGGGATTGAGTCTGTGATATAATGATTTAAAACATTTACAAGTTGGTTAAACCTCTGCATTGGGAGTAACAGGCGTAAGTAAGTAAGTATACCTATCCAAATATGATGTGAAAAATTCAAAAACAACTAATTACTTCAAGAACCAATCAATATCGAACTGTACAGAACAAACTGTGAAACATATATGGTGAAATTCAAACACTTCACACCTATCTGAAGTTTGTGCTACAGATGATGTCGTTCAGTAGAAGAATGATAAAAGTTCCACAACTAAACCATTCAACTTAGAGAACAAAACTCCATTAAAATCATTCACTTGAGCTACTAATCTTCTCTAATACTTTATTGGCCCCCAAATGCCCTGGTACGGCCGAGAGTGGGGAGAGACCGCTCTCCCTCTCGAAATGCTCTCACATGGCCATGCGTATATAGCCTTTGCCAGGAAAGTCCTACTCACTGCCTACTCGTAGCGGGGGTGTTGTTTACAAAAATGAGAGGACGAAAAGCGAATGTCCGGCTCTTTAAACGGATCTCAAATCAATGGTGCACATGGGCTGGCTCCAGTATCCTGCCTGAAGGAACAAATGGCGTATGAACCAATCGTTGGTCACCGTCTACCATGAGACTACATCTCCTTACGATGCTCCACTGCCTTGTGGGTCAGACCTTCAGGTCGAAGTCTCCCTAAGAAAACCACCTGGTTCGGTTTGGGCAGCCGGGCATTATCACAACGCTCACATATATCAATTGAAATCTGTGTGGCGCATATGTATTTGGTGCCTCCTTGTACCAATATCTATGTATTAATATAAATATAAATAATAATAATAATACTTTATTGAATGAAGTAAAAATAAAACCATTTACAATAATAACGTACTTTTAAACGAATACTAATCTCTTTCTTTTTTGATAAAACAGGTTGTGTAGTTGTACATTCTATTTCTTTTGTTAAACAATAATTTTCATTAGATTCAATTGGAATAGATATTGTAGATTTCAATGAATTTTGTGGTTCTACTGGATCACATAGTTCACTAATCATTTCAATGACACTATTTATACGACGTCGCTACAAATATAATGAACAAGATAAAGCCAAACAAAAACAACAAAAAAAAACATACAAGATAGATTATCTTTGACTAATAATCGATTAATGTATTATGGTATGTATGTCAATGGCAATATGTTCAATTTAGTGAATCTTATATCTATATTGAAAATCAGGCGAAATACTTTGAACAACTCACGACTTCTTTACTTAACATAGGAGTAATAGTAATGCTTCACATAATCAATATGGGTAATATTAACATAGAATGTAAATGTGAAACTTGTTATTATTTATTTTAACACATAGATATTAGTATAAGGAGGCACCAAATACATTTGATTTTATGCAACGGCTGTGATAATGGACGGGTGCTCAAACCGAACCAGGAGGTTTACTTAGAGGGCCACACTCCAAGCCTTCAACATGGAGATCTGATCCACAAGGCAGTGGAGCATCGTAAGGAGATGCAGTCCCATGTTAGGCGTTGACCATTTATTCCTTTAGGATACTGGAGCCAGCCCATATGCACCATTGATTTGGGATCCGATTAAAGTGCCAGACATTCGCTTTTCGTTCTCTCATTTTCGTAAACAACAGTAATGCCACGAAAAGTCAGTGAGTAGGACTTCCCTAGCAGAGGATGTATATGCGTGGCCGTGTCAGAGAATTTGGAGAGGGAGAGCGGACTCTCCTCACTCTCGGCCATGCCAGGGCATTTGAGGGCTCTCTGTTGAATAAATCAGATTTTGCAGCGAAAATACTCTAATCTATAGTTAATAAAAATCCGAGTGGAAACCTTGAAAAATTCATAAGCTAAATAAAACCATCATATTTATTTAGGTTTCTTCAAGTTATTATAGACAAATTGGCTAATGCAAGGTAAAACATGTTATAAACGTTCCTTCAGTTAAACAGTTTCATCGTCACATCCATATTGCAGAATAAATCTATACACTATAATGCAATGTAATGCAATTCATTTACCAATTAAATGTTCAAGTAATCAGCTTTGAGTTATAATTATTTTTAACTGAAACTTAGTGATATTACTTGGCTTCCTCAAACCGAAGTAAGTAAGTCAATCAGTAACAACGTGGAACTTCGTACGTACGTACGTACATCAGTTCGAGTTGCCACACCACATTAGCACAGAGATGCAGTTGTCAATTCAAATCCCGTAAGGAGAATGGGATTTTAACCTATTGGTAGAAATTCATAAGTTTCAAACAAGTAAGTCATTGTGCTTCAAAAACATCAAATTACAGAGTATAATAATCTCATTTGAAACTACATATGATAGTGTAATGATATTCAATTCATCCATGATCTCAGTCAGTCGGTCAGCTACAATGTAGGACTAGACACACTTCATTAGCACAACAGGATCAACATCGAATTCATAAAAGTACCTAATTCAGTGGTGGTAATATGTGTAAAAGAAAGATTGCATATAAGGACATAGTACAGGAAGAAAGAATTAGTTCGTAGAAACAAAGATATAAAACAATTTTAATCTCATAGTTTAAGGGAAGATAGAGAGTGTATACAGTTACACCATTCGCTTTTCATCCTCTGAATTTCGTAAACAACAGTAATGCCATGAGAAGGCAGTGAGTAGGACTTCCCTGGCATAGGCTATATACGTATGGCCATGTGAGATTATTTCGAGAGGGAAAGCGGACTCTCCCCACTCTCGGCCATTCCAGGGTATTTGTGGGGACCATAGAATGTAAATGTGAAACTTGTAAGAGTACAGTGATTTCATGAAGCTTATTAACTTTTCAAGGCTTATCATCAGGTTTCCAATCTTATCATCAGATAAACATTTCATTCATCTGAATAAGGATACACTTTCATTAAAGCTTTTCGCTAGATCCTTTTATGGAAAATTCATTATTTACAAGATCGTTTGAAGAGCTAGCTAGATAAATTTACAAGACATTCACAGAAATTATGGTGTTTAAACATATTTATTTGACCATCACTACTAATATTAAGTGAAACATTAATGAAGACCTATGTTCGTCATATATACTTTGAAGGAAAACTTGTTGTGTTGTGCACACAAAAAGAAATAAGCTTATCATACGATTCACAGTATCATTTCCACTCTGTAATGGTGAAAAAGAGAAAGTTTAGCAACAATTTTCAACATTATACTCATTATCTAAAGATATTTTGGCGAGACTATAAATTGTGGACGAACCAATCACACAAAAGATAATAGGTCTCGGATTTTGACGCGAAATTCACTCATCTATTTGGATAAATAGAGTTTTGGCATTATAGCGAATGTCAATTTGTGATACCAGACCAAAACATGGCACAAATCAATAAAGTCACTGACAAATGGACTGAGAAAGCCATGTTGGTAGGTATAGACTATCTGGTCGGGGACCGCGAGACGATAGCAACCGATGGTTAGAGACCTTGAATGGCATGGCTGAAAATCGTTTGCAATGGCGCAGGTGTATCCACTCTCTGTGTTCTCCTAAATTCTAGTCTTCTGAATTCTTTATGTCTTTTATTTTCTTTCCAAATCTATTCCACTGGATTATACTCCTTAAATAACATCTTCAAACCCTAATCTTTCCGCTTACTGCTTATACTCATACTACCTCTACCACAATGGGATTTGAATCGAGAACTGAATCTCTGTGCTAATGTGGTATGGCAACTCGAACTGATGTACGTACGTACGTACGAAGTTCCACGTTGTTACTGACTGACAATTTGTGATGATAACCCTAAATCTAATTTCTAACTTTAATCATCAACTGTAAATCATAATTCTAATTCCTCACACACAGGTTCATTATCCTCATTTGGTCCCGGTTATTAAGTGAACACTCTCAAGGTCAGTCTGGAGTCACTCATAGGTAGTCCATAAATTAATCTCACCAAATCGGCTTCTCAATTCTAGTTGACCAAGTCAATATAGTAAAATTACACTCAAGTAGCAACAGTAAAAGAAATAAATGAGGTAACTCTTTCAACACTTAACACTAAAACTAAGCATTAAATCTGACCATCAGTCAGTAAAAACGTGGAACTTCGTACGTACGTACGTATATCAGTTCGTGTTGCCACACCACGCTGACAGAGATTCAGTTATCGAATCAAATCCCATAGTGGAAGAGGTAGTGAAAGTATAAGTAGTAATCAGGAACAGTAGAGTTTGATGATGTTATTTAAGGAGTAAAATCCAGTGGAATAGATTTGGAAAGAAAATAAAGGACATGAAGAATACAGAAGGTTAGAGTTTGAGAAAACACAAAGAGTGGATGCACCTGTGCCATTGCAAACGATTTTGAGCCATGTCATTCAAAATCTCTAACCATCGGTTACTGAACATCGCACATCGAGGCAGTCGGTGGTCGGACATGTGTAACACATGTCCCAGCCATCTCAACTGAAGTTTCACTACTTTACCAATTCATTTGCCATCCTTAACTAGTACCCGTTTCCTAACAACTGAGTTACTTACTTGATGGTCCCAGGATATACGAGCGATGTTTCGAAGATACCTATGGTCAAATACTAGTAATCTACGAATATCCTCTACTCTTACTGGCCATGTTTCACTGCCATAAAGTAGGACGGAACGAACTGCTGCACAGTAAACACTTCCTTTGGTTGATAGACGGATATCTCGCCTACGCCATAAATGATGCAAGTTGGCAAAAGCTAGTCGAGCCTTCTATATCCGTGCTGTGATTTCGTCACACACCAGACCACAAGGGTTGATGAGACTTCCTAGATAAGTGAAGCGATCGACACGCTCAACAACTTCACTCCCTATCACTAGTTCGAGTGGCGGTGCAACCCAATCCTGAAGCAACATATTACAATTCGAGGTAGAAATTCACATGCCGAACATGCCTGCAATGTTGCTTAGAGTGGTCATAAAAAACATCATAAAGAACAAATAAACTACTCACCAAACTTGGTTCTAAAATAGCATGTAATTTTAATAATTGAGGCGCTAAAGTACCCGAAACTTGTTGACTAGTTATCCAATCATGAACTAATGATACTAAACGTCTTCGACCAAATTCATCACTTAAATCAAGTGATCCTGCCATTGATAAAATTTGTTCAACAACACATTCTTGTTCAATTGCTTTTTCATCAAATTCTTGAGCAAGAACAGTTTGAACAAGTTTATCTACAACACTAAATTATTGAAATAAAGATTATAATAAGTCTATAATAGTAAAAAAAACACAGGTAAATATCGACGAATATTGCTTCATTTAACCACAGTACCTAAGACAGTCAGTCAATCAGGTACAAGGTAGGACCAGACACATGTTTATTTATTTATTTATTTTAACACATAAGTATAGGTACAGGGAGGCACCAAAATACATATGCGCCACACAAAGATCAATTGATTTGTGTGAGGGCTGTGATACTGACCGGGTGCCCAAACCGAACCAGGTGGTTTTCCTAGGGGGCCACACCCCGAGCCTTTGACCTGAACGTCTGACCCACAAGGCAGTGGAGCATCGTGAGGAGATGCAGTCCCATGGTAGCCGGTGACCAACGATTGGTTCATACGCCATTTGTTCCCGCAGGATACTGGAGCCCATGTGCACCATTGATTTGGGGTCCGGTTAAAGCGCCAGACATTCGCTTTTCGTCCTCTCACTTTTGTAAACAACACCCCCGCCACGAGAAGGCAGTGAGTAGGACTTCCCTGGCAGGGGCTATATACGCATGGCCATGTGAGAGCATTTCGAGAGGGAGAGCGGACTCTCCCCACTCTCGGCCGTACCAGGGCATCCGTTCAAGTTGCCACATCTCATTAGTACAACAAAATGAGCATCAAATTCATAGAAGTAGTTACTTCGATGGTGGTAACATATAAAAGTGAGATCGCATATGAGGACAAAGTACAGGAATAACGAATTAGTTGGTAGAAAGAAAGATATGAAGCGATTTTAATCTCATGATTTGAGGGAAGGTAAAGACTGTACACACTGACGCCATTGTGATCGATTCTGAGCCATGTCACACACAGAGTTTCTTACCACTGGTTACAATAGTCACGCTATGGTTTGCTTCATACTATAGAACGTATATACAACATTATTTTTAAAAGTAGAAATATGTTAGTTGAAGATATTCGATAGTAGATATTACCAAGATGTATCGCTTAAATGTGACGAATAATCTTGATGTGAAGATTATAATGCTAACTGAGAGAGAGAGAGAGATGAATCAGTTAACCTACATGAACTGTGATTTGATCAAATCTTCGATCATTAGTTTGAACTGCATAAATAAAAAAACAGTCATGTATAAAATGTTACGGATATATGTATCGCCAACCAATTTATAACATGCCGATTCATAACATGAAAGGTAATCAAATGCATGCCCCCAAATGCCCTGGTATGGCCGAGAGTATTTATTTATTTATGTATTTTAACACATAGATATTGGTACAACGAGGCACCAAATACGTATGCGACACACGAATCTCATTTGATATATGTGAGTGCTGTGATACTGTTCAGGTGCCCAAACCGAAGCAAGTGGTTTTTTTAGGAGGCCACACCCGGAGCCTTCGACCTGAAGGTCTAACCCACAAGGCAGTCGAGCATCGTGAGGAGATGCAGTCTCATGGTAGCCGGTGACTAACGATTGGTTCATACGCCGTTTGTTCCCTCAAGCCGGATACTGGAGCCAGCCCATGTGCACCATTGGTTTGGGATTCGGTTAAAGTGCCGGACATTCGCTTTTCGTCCTCTCATTTTCGTAAAGAACACCCCCGTCACGAGAAGGTAGTGAGTAGGACTTCCCTGGCAGAGGCTATATACTCGTGTCAATGTGAAAGCATTTGGAGAGAGAGAGCGAACTCTCTCCACTCTCGGCCGTACCAGGGACATTTGAAGACTAGAATCAGTGGCAGGCAAATATATTTCAATCGGAAATGATATTTATTTATGTTGTTGAGAATCCATCAATGTTTTCGGTTTACTGTATTTAGGAATTTCAATTTAAGATACGGATTTTCTTCACTCTTCTAGGACTTATTAGTTGGATATATACATATTTGCTATTCATACTAAAAAGTGATATTCAACACACTATATCACATAGCATGTGAATCAAGGTTTTAAAGTAGTTTAAACAAACATATACCTTTCAATTAGTAGTTGGTAGATTCACAGTCAAGTACATTCTGATTAATTAATAGATTTACGGAACTAGAGTACTTAAGGACAATCATTTTATGATACTTAATAGGGTTCAACTCACTCATGTTCAATGATTAAGATCATGAGTCAGTTGAAGCTAGACCACCATGGAAAACCTGGAAGCAGTGGACAGCCGTTTCGTCCTATTATGGGATTCCTCACCGGCATCCACAAAACCCCTTCTGATAATCACTCATGTTCATTTTGCAATTACTCATAGACCAATTAAACAAATACAAACTAACCTTTTAGCTAAGTCAACATAAACACTAACAGATGGTTGAACTAGATCAGCTAATTGTTGTAAAGGATTGTTTTCTTCATCATTATTTTCATTCTCAAGGTGTACAGTTGATTTTATTGTTGTTGTCGTTATATCATCTATATTAGTTTGTCTCTTATGAATAAATTCCACTAATGCTCTCCAGAAAAATGTTGCTTCTGGTGTAAGACAATCGGATTTAAGTATTCGACTGAAAAAAATAAAAACAAATCAATAATGATCTGAAGAAATATCTCATTTATAAGCACAATAATCAGTTCAATTGACATTTGTTCTACGAAAAAATTTACTATTACTCGCTGATTGAGAACCTATTTTATATTCTATTACGAAATGAACATACCAACGATTACTTATTCGTATGACAATTTGCATGCAATCAGTAACAACGTGGAACTTCGTACGTACGTACATCAGTTCGAGTTGCCATAAAGCATTAGCACAGAGATTCAGTTATCAATTCAAATCCCACTGTGGTAGAGGTAGTTAATGTATAAGCAGTAATCGGAAAGATTAGGGTTTGAACATGTTATTCAAGGAGTATATTCCAGTGGAATAGATTTGGAAAGAGAGAAAAGAAAGGGACATGAACATTTTGGAAGCTTAGAAATTGGGAGAACACAAACAGTGAATGCACCTGCACTATTGCAAACGATTTTGAGCCATGTCATTCAACATCTCTAACCATCGGTTGCTATCGTCTCGCGGACCCCAATCAGGTAGTCTACACCTACCAACATGGCTTTCTCAGTCCATTTGTCAGTGACTTCATGGATTTCTGCCATGTTTTGGTTTGGCCGCCCCTAATTTTCTTTCAACCTACTCCTACACCATAAAACATCGCACGTCGGGGCAGTTGGTGGTTGGGCACACGTAACACATGTCCCAGCTATCTCAACTGATGAAGGTTCACCATCTCATCAATCGATTTGCATGCAAACAGATTCTACTTTTATTAATTATTGACTAATTGTTTACAACCTTCTACAACACATGGTTGTAGTTAGACAATCTATACATTTAATTTGTAACAATTAGATCATCAATTCAAAACGACTTTAACCTCCAAAAAAGGGAAATAAGGTATAAGGGCTACTACAACAAGCTAATCCCATGTTTATGACTAGACCAATAAGTGTATTTGCGTCAAATAAATTGCATTTCAACTCTCTCTCCCTATTTATATATATATATATATATATATATATATATATATATATATATATATATATATCACAAGTCAAGCCCTGACTTATGATCCTGAAGGCGAAAGGAAAAGAAGAAGACTGAAAAACATAGTGAACCGTGAATTGGAAGCAGACATCAAAAGAATAAATAGGAATTAGAAACGACTAGAAAGAATAGCCTACGACAAAGTTGGTTAAAGAAAGACGGTGGGCAGCCTAAGCTTCTCCACGAAGAGTATAAATATATATTCAGTATGGTGAAGTACAGAGTGATACACTAAGCAGTAAATATAAGAGGTCTAGATAAATCATGAATAACTTACTCAGAATTTAAATAATTTGGAGACCATTCTTGGACAACTTTCAACAGATCGTCTAATGATAGCATTTCAAATAAACTATCTAAAGCTTTTTGACTTGTACTAGGATCACCTTCTGGATCTAAACGTCGTAACAATAGTACTGGATCTCGGTTAGTTCCATTAAACCATGCTAAAACTAGTTCTTTAGTTGCTTTACGAACCTCCTCTATAATAAAATACATTGAAAAACAGAAACATTATCATCATTGAAGTTACTAAAAGTTCGTAATATTTTTTTAAAGCAAAATATTCAAATTCTAGGGAATTTAAAGGAAATTAGGACCTGACATTAAAAGTATATACAACGGTTTAAGGTGGTATAAATCTTAACGGTATAAAAAAAAACGAGGGAAAAAGGGCACAGAAAAACCGATACAAAACGCAAAACCCATGAAGGATAAAAATGAAGACAGAAAAACTATGGGAACAAGCATCGACAGTGTAGATACACCATCAATCCGTCTGTCCATCCTAGTCTTAGCCATGTTGGTAGATATAGACTATTTGATTGGGGTCTGCGTGACTATCGTAACCAATGGTTGGAAACTGTGGGTGACATGGCTGAGAATCGATCACAATGGCGTAGGTGTATACACTCTCTATCTTCCCTTAAATTATGAGATTAAAATTACTTCATATCTTTCTTTCTTCCTGTAACATATCTTTATATGCAATTTTTCCTTTATACATATTACCACCATCGAAGTAACTACTTCTATGAATTTGGTGCTCATTTTATTGTGCTAATGAGGTGTGGCAACTTGGACGGATGCATTTTATGTGCCTGGTCCTATGTTGTAGCTGAGTTTGTCGTTCATGTGCATCAACTCAAGTTGCCATGCCACCAATTATGTTTAGTAGTAAAAATACCCAATCAATTTGCACTTAAACTGTTTTCGCTTGCTATTGTTCCATATAGTCAGCTGGGATGAGTCTTCATGGTCGAATATATATTACCGTTTCTACTAATATTTTGACAATAGACTGAATACTTAACCTGATTAATCCAGTAGAGGAGTAGTTGTAACTTCAAATTAATCTTATTTAACTAGTATCTACCATAATACTTGGCTGATATTATCACCTTCAAGCTGACGACACCCAGTTAAGCACAAACGAGGCCAAGAAACAAATAGCGATCATATTTCAAGTAGTTAATTAAGAAAAACCAATAGCTTGCTGATTCTCCTTAACAGTGGTCAATAACAGTATGACCTACATGTATCTATTATCGTCAAGTTAAATTAGTAACCACAATGTCAGTCGGTATTTGTTCTTATATTTAAAGTTGATAGTCTAGAAAAAGTGGTTACTGGAGAGGATGTATAATAAAAGTGTGTAGTGATACTGATTTCACAGCGACACCACATATGTGTCGAATAAAACTGCCAATAAAAATCACTGAATGAAAAGTCAAAGTAATAATTTTAGAAAAAGAGAATATATATTACACAAGGTAGTCCTATCCCAACAATTCTATGATTTTCTAAAGATACCTACCCGATCTATCGGATAATCCATCTTGTAAGATACGGATACGTTTCGCGATCGATAGTGGTCGTAAAATACCACGAGATGCTAATAGTTTGTAAGCAGCCCGACGTACATTGTCAGCAAGATCACGACATCGTTCAACTAGACTTGGTAATGTACGAGTAGTTAGAACCATTGCTGCTAATGCCGCACGCCGTACCTCTGCAGTAGGATCATGTCGTGTAAGCCAAATAAATGCCTCTACTACAGGACATTCTGCATCAGTAGGATCTTGCATACGAGAAAGTGCTTGGATTGCTTCAACTCGCACTGACACCTATAAGGTATACATAAACATAGTAAACTATAAAAAAATGTGCTGTTGTCCTATCAGAGTGCAAATGCCGATTATTCGTTCAGAAATCACAACTATTATAAAAATGAATGCTATGAAGATTCTATTCAGCTAAACAACACAATTCATTCTGTAATCACGAGGTTTTGTTACATTAAGTGTCATACATTATGAAATAAGTTGTAAAGTACTCCCATGTTCAAAAACTTAACAACAATAAATTCAGCATGGAAACTTGAAAAGTAAACGAACTATACAATTTGATAGCATGGGTTCCTTACAAAATTGTTGTGATTTATAATTTCTCAGTATAAAAGCTACTAATCATAACTTCAGGTAATATGTTTTCGGATCAATGAAACTTGACAAGATTAAAATTATGAACATCTTAAGTTTATGTGATTTACAATCGATCAGCGTAGGTGAAAATGATAATCAATAAAATTAAGTCTTTTATACATCTTAACCAATAATTACTCTCGATTAATGTTTAGTGAAACGTTATTTATCGTTGAAGGGTTCGACTATACGAATAGTAACGTGGAAACTAGAGATGTGACAGATGTAATCAATCTTTATATACTGATATTCAGAGAAATACATACCTTTGGAAGTATTATAGTGTTAATTATATACATAAAGTGTAAAACTCTTGCTCTACTATGTACTTGTATAACATAGCTTTTATTATGCACTTCGGCCCCCAAATGCCCTGGTATGGCCGAGAGTGGGGGGAGTCCGCTCCCCCTCTCGAAATGCTCTCACATGGCCACGCGTATACAGCCCCTGCCAGAGAAGTCCTACCCACTGCCTTCTCGTGGCGGGGGTGTTGTTTACGAAAATGAGAGGACGAAAAGCGAATGTCCGGCGCTATAACCGGATCCCAAATCAATGGTGCACATGGGCTGGCTCCAGTATCCTGCCTGAAGGAACAAATGGCGTATGAACCAATCGTTGGTCACCGGTTACCATGGGACTGCATCTCCTTACGATGCTCCACTGCCTTGTGCGTTAGACGTTCAGGTCGAAGGCTCGGTGTGTGGCCCCCTAAGAAAACCACCTGCTTCAGTTTGGGCACTCGGGCAGTATCACAGCCCTCACACAAATCAATTAAGATTTGTGTGGCGCATATGTATTTGGTGCCTCCTTGTATCAATACCTATGTGTTAAAATAAATAATTTTTAGTTGGTAAATGTATTCGACTAAATTGATAAAATCAAGATGATATTGAATGAAACGTTTGTATAATTAACGAATTTGTCTCTACATTCTTCACAGAAGATTATCTTTTACACTCTAATACACACAAGAAACCAACTAACCTTTGTATCATAGACACGACGAAGTAATATACTTTGCAACGTCCTGTACAATTCTTCAGGCATTATTCCATTGTCTCCAATTCCATCTAATAATTTGTGAATAATCTGCATACAACGAAATCTTACAGCAGGATTTGGACATTCATTGTACTGATTTGAAAAGTAGATCAACACACAAGCATAATAGAAAAAACTATATAAAACTAAGCTGTGTGAAAGATAATTAAATCATATTTATTAATTTAGTACAATTATAACACAAATAACCAGAATACGAGGAATTACAAATACATGAGTAGTAATGTGATGATTGTCAATTACTTACAATGGTTAAGTCATTTAATTTTCAACATTTTAAAATGTATAGGAAAATCGGTTAAATGGTCGAAAAATAACACTCCGCTGAACGAAACGTTGTCGATTAAGCTAATTTCAAATCCTTTGTTTTGTATTCCTTAACCGCGTTTTTAAACTATGAATAACAACGGATGAAGTGAACAGTAAAATGATTATGCAAACTCCTTTGATCATTTCAACAGCTAATTTGCGAACAATGACATATTTGTCTTTGGGTTATGAGTTGTTTATGCTTATGTGTTTATCATAAAATACTAATATAAGCTTGAAATCACACTTTTTTGAATCTCGCCCCCAAATGCCTTGGTATGGCCGAGAGTGGGGTTGGTTCGCCCTCCCTCTCGAAATACTCTCACACGGCCACGCGTATATAGCCTCTGCCATAGAAGTCCTACCCACTGCTTTCTCGCGGCATTACTATTGTTTACGAAAATGAGAGGACGAAAAGCGAATGTCCGGTTCTTTAAACGGATCCCAAATCAATGGTGCACATGGGCTCCAGTATCCTGAAGGAACAAATGGCGTATGAACCAATCGTTGGTCACCGGATGCCGTGGGACTGCATCTCCTCACGATGCTCCACTGCCTTGTGGGTCAGATCTTCATATAGAAGGCTCGGGGTGTGGCCCCCTAAAAAAAACCACCTGCTTCGGTCCGGGCACCCGGGCAATATCGCAGCCCACACACAAATATAATGAAAATGATGATAATATTTGAAAACTCTATTCACGCCGCGATTTACTATCAAACAATTCACATTATTATTATTATTATTATTATTATTATTATTATTATTATTATTATTATTATTATTATTTACTACGTCATTTATTCACTCTCTTTTATTTCCACTCTGTCTATCCTTACTTTTCGACTTAGAGAGCAGCTCGCCTATGGTGGACATTCGGCCCTATCTAAACGTTCTCGTGTCACTGCCTGGTTGAAAATTGTATGTTACCATCGAACAAAAGCACTGAAGCAGTTTTTATGAAACCACGTGCACCATTCGAACTGGCCTCCTTTAACGTTCGCACACTTATGCAGGTCGGACAACAGATAGGGCTGTCTATGTCTTTGGAAAGTCTTAATATTGATGTGTGTTGTCTATCCGAGACCCGTATTCAAGACTCTGGTGAAGTACTACAAGTTCGCTCTCCATCTGTCGCTTCAAAAAGTTTGTTTTACGTGCGTCTATCCGGGGACCCTGTGGCATCTTCGTCTGGTCTTGCTGGCGCTAGTATCGCACTAAGCGCTAGAGCTGAGGCAGCACTAATCGACTGGATCCCCATGAACAGTCGGTTATGTGCTGTTAGATTAGAAAGTTCCATCAAAGTGAGAAGAAATCGGCGTGAGAAACGATGTCTTTTCGTCGTCTCCACCTATGCCCCGACAGATTGCAGCCCGGATGCAATCAAGGATGAATTCTACCACCAGTTAACTGTTCTTCTCCAGAAAGTGCGTTCGACAGATATTGTAGTACTAGCCGGAGACTTGAATGCTCAGGTCGGGCGTCTAGGCACAGAAGAGAGTCGTTTAGGTGGCCGATGGGGACTTGTTGGTCGCAGGACATATAACGGGGAACGTCTACTGCAAATATGCACAGACCACAACCTGTTTCTGGCTAGCACTAACTTTCGGCACAGTCATCGCCAATGTGCCACCTGGCGTCCTCCTTCTGCATATCAAGCCTGGACTCAGATTGATCACATCGCGATCAGCTACCGCTGGCGCCAATCTTACCTTACTTTTCAGTGGACAACGAAGTGACCGCCACCAAAGGATTGACGTTAGCAAGCTGGCTGCAACTTCTCTTGCTAGTAAGTACCGAACCGAGCTAGCTTCTAGGCTAGCTACCATCCCTCCGAAAAGTATAGATGAGCATTGGTTGCAATTGCATGACGCCATGAAAATGGCGGGTACAGTCTGTTGTGGGTTCGCGAAACATCCCGCTTACAAGCACTGGGCTTCTTCTGGTTCCTTACAACTGATTGAAGCCCGTCGGTCTACTCCGGGTGACCATGAGTTTGACCACAGACGAGGGATGTTACGTAATGAAATCGGGCAAAGCTTGCGTAAGGACCGAGAAGCCTGGTGGTCGGAGCGTGCCAGTGAGTTGGAAGCAGCAGCTGCATCTGGTAATTACCGGAAGCTCTTCCAACTCATCCGAGCCACTGGCAGCAAGAAGTTTGGTGTGAGCGAAACAATCTGCGAGGATGACGGAACGCCAATCACTAACATCCATCGACGTCTTGGACGATGGGCAGAATTCTTTGAAGGGCAGTTCAACTGGCCTGCTGCTCCGGCAACATCGGTCGGACTGTCCTGCCCTCCATGGCCAGTGACGACTGACCCACCAAATGAGGCGAAAGTCCACAAGGAACTCCAACTCTTGAAACGTTACAAATCACCGGGTCCAGATGACTTACCTCCGGTTCTTTTTAAAGATGGTGGTGACTTTCTGACTAAGGGACTGACGACGTTGTTTTCAAAGGTCTGAGAACTAGAGAGTGTACCACCGTCATGGAATGAGTCAATAGTTGTCCCTATCTTTAGAAAGGGTTTACGTCGTTCCTGTAACAACTATCGGGGGATAAGTCTACTTCCGATTGCGTCCAAGCTATTGGCTTCCGTTATACTTCGTAGGTTGTTCAAAACCCGAGAAAGATTGACTCACGAGGAGCAGGCTGGGTTCCGTTCTGGTCGAGGATGTATTGATCATATCTTCACCCTCCGCCAAATGTTAGAACACCGCCATACTTATCAAAGGCCAACAATCGTAGTGTTTCTTGATATCAGGGCTGCCTTCGATTCGTTGGACAGAACTGTTCTCTGGGATTGTCTATTGAAGATGGGTGTGCCTGAGAAGTTCAATAACATCTTAATGACCGTATACACCAACACCTCAGGTAGAGTGAGGGCATACAACCACCTTTCTCCGTTATTCCATTCAAGCAGTGGAGTTAGGCAGGGTTGTCCAATCTCACCATTCCTCTTCAACTTTGCCATCGACGACATTCTGGAAACAGCTCTGATAGATGTAAGTAATGGTGGTGTGGATCTGTTGCCTGGAGAAAGACTTCTCGACCTTGAGTATGCGGATGATATTGTCTTACTGTGCGAGAATGTCCAAGCCATGCAATCCGCACTTAATCAGTTGGCAATCAATGTCCGTAGGTATGATATGTGCTATGCACCTTCGAAGTGCAAAAGTACTTCTACAAGACTGGCAGGATTCTAATCATGTACTCACTCTGGATGGTGAGCAGATAGAAGTAGTCGAGAAGTTCGTGTATCTGGGTAGCTGCATAAGTGCTGGTGGTGGTACGAGTGGTGAGATCATTGCACGTATAGTGAAAGCCAGAGCGGCTTATGCCAATCTTATTATTTTATTTATTTTAACACATAGATATTGGTCCACGGAGGCACCAAATATATATGCGCCACACAAATCTCATAGGATATTTGTGAGCGCTGTGAAACTGCCCGGGTGCCCAAACCGAAGCAGGTGGCTTTCTTAGGGGACCACACCCCGAGCCTTCTATATGAAGATCTGACCCACAAGGCAGTGGAGCATCGTGAGGAGATGCAGTCCCATGGTAGGCGGTGACCAACGATTGGTTCATACGCCATTTGTTCCCTCAGGATACTGGAGCCCATGTGCACCATTGATTTGGGATCCGTTTAAAGAACCGGACATTCGCTTTTCGTCCTCTCATTTTCGTAAACAATAGTAATGCCGCGAGAAAGCAGTGGGTAGGACTTCTATGGCAGAGGCTATATACGCGTGGCCGTGTGAGAGTATTTCGAGAGGGAGGGCGAACCAACCCCACTCTCGGCCGTACCAAGGCATTTGGGGGCTTATGCCAATCTGGGCCATCTTTGGCGTCTTCGTGATGTTAGTCTGGCTGTAAAAGGTCGGATCTACAACGCGTCAGTGAGAGCAGTTTTGCTCTATGCTTGTGAAACCTGGCCTCTCGGAGTTGAGGATGTTAGACGACTCTGTGTCCGGTCATCGCTGTCTCCGAAGGATTGCTGACATTCAGTGGCAACACCATGTTAGTAATGCAGAGGTTCGACATCGTGTGTTCGGGCACAGAGACGATAATGAAATTGGTGTCACCATCTTGAAACAACGACTTCAGTGGCTTGGACACGTTCTATGAATGCCGTCCCAGAGAATTCCTCGTCGTGCATTATTTGCCGACTCTGGGACTGGTTGGAAACAGCGGAGAGTTTGTCAGTATATGACATGGTGTCGTGGTATGAAAGAAAGCTGCAAAGGGCTAGCTTCTGTTGGTCCTTCACGACTCCCTGGTTGGGGTCCGAGAGACGATGTAACGCAGTGGCTAGAGACGTTATCAAATATGGCTCAGAATAGAAGCTAGTGGCGATCCTGCTATAACCTTGTTTTACTTTCTTCATAAAAAGTGGTTGTATCTTCCTTAACTGAAAGATTTCTTCTGATTGTACCTTTCCGTTTTCCCCATCATTGTTCTCTCCCTCTTTTTTTCTTTGTAATTCCCCACGTTCATTACTTTTTTTTTCTCCTTCTCTTCAAATTCTCATTGTTTTGTGTGGCGCATATATATTTGGTGCCCCCTTGTACCAATATGTGTTCAAATAAAAAATAAATAAACTGGTACAAGAGGGCACCAGATACATATGCACCACACAAATCTCATTTGAGTTGTGTGAGAGCAGTGATAATGCACGGGTGCCCAGACCGAAGCAGGTGGTTTTCTTAAGGAGCCACACCCGGAGCCTTCGATCTGATCCACAAAACAGTGGAGCATCGTAAGGAGATGTAGTCCTATGGTAGACAGTGACCAACGATTGGTTCATATGCCATTTGTCCCCTCAGGATCCTGGAGCCCATGTAAACCATTGATTTGGATCCAGGGTTTTCCAACTCCCCTAGGTGGACTCTCTGTGTCCACCAACACTTTTGATGCGCCGGACATTCGCTTTTCGTCCTCTCAATTCCGTAAACAACACCCCGGCTACGAGAAGACAGTGTTCTTCACTGCCCAACAATTGTTGCAACTTCAACATCATTTACAAACATTCTTGTGAGTAGCGTCCACTACACTAGTTACAGGTCGAAACTAATCTCTATTTATGATAACTGTTGAAGACTAACTTCTCAGTCTTCAAATTTCGTCAACTAACAAGTCTATAAACTCAGTCTAATTGACTCGATAATTTCTAATACATCACAAACCGAGAACCCATTATAGGGATAATAAGTAGGCATTAAATAATCCCATATACTCTGCATTCTAGTCAAGACACAAAAGTTAGTGATCAACAAACGAATGTAGGATTTTATGAGCAACAGAGAAAAGTATGCCTACCTTAATACAAAATAAGAAAAGTTTTAACAATAGACGGTTGTTTAGTGTATCTTGGCTACTATCGTCTGATTTTCCACAAAACAGAGCAAACTTTGTGATGAAATCAATTGTTCTTTCGCGATAGGATGATCGTTCACTGGATACTAAACTGTAACGGCAGAGCTCAAAGAAATCATCAGCGAAATGTGTAAACCGTGTCTGTTAAACCAAAAAACAATGAAAATTAGAGTAATAGAATGAAAATACAATTTACAATTAATAAAACAAAAGGCTCACCGGTCAGTCGTATGCAACATTCGTTCTGGTACAAATATTTGTCAGTCCAAGTTGTCATGCCACATTAGTAGTGTGGGAATAGCAAAGGATTCGAATTAATACTAGCATTAATGGTGGGAACAAAATTAGTGAAGGGACTTTCCAAGCTCCCTTACAAAGACCGCTTATAACGACTTGACCTGCCACCCTTATCGCATTGTAAGATGCGAGGTGACCATATTCCGGCATTCCGTGTCTTTAATTATGATTAGGCGCTAATATCTCATCTTTTCGCCTTCTCTAGCCCTAATCATCTCCAGAACCATACTAAGAAGGTTTGAAAACCGCTATCTAACAAACTCAGAGCGCGGTCTCGTTTTCCTCATCGAGTGGTCAGTGACAAGATCGCCTTATACGAACGATTGCCACATCAGTAAACACTTTCAGGTGGAACCTGGTCCTATACTGGAAAACACTGTAAGGATTTACATAGATCCACCAAACTACTACCCTTATTACTGAACGGTGGCACTTCATAAACGTTGTCTTCATTAGCATGAATGACACGCCGAACGACCTGTGTTAAACCTGGCATGTTTCCGTCGAAGATAATTTCCCCTTGAAAGTATTCACCGATGCGATTGATACTGATTGCTTAGGCAGGCTGCTGCTATTGTTAAGTATTCACAGAGAAAGTCCTGTTCAGTGTCTATTCGTAAGCAGGTTTTAAAACCCACCGCGGTAGCTTCAGAACCTAATCCGCCTGAAAAATCATTGTGATGATTACTGGGATAAAGTCACCACCGCATCGAATTCAAGTTTCACATGGAGAACAATTTATGCAATTACATTTGTCTCAACTTACGTTGTCATAAATATTTTTCAGTTTTACACATAAACGATCATGTGACAAATTATTAAGTTGGCATTCTTCGAAAACTTCGAGAATTTCAGACTCAGTACCCTTGGTCATAGTCGACATCCAAAAAACCCAGCTGTCCCTTTCCAAATTCGCAAAGCGCGCCCAAAACCTTAAGCTTTGGTTTTTAATACGAACAAACAAATATCTTCTATGCTGCTCTTTAAGTAAATTCTCTGTTAGAACTGCTGGTGCGTACCACGTAAGGCTATTTGAAACGTTAATCAATAGTGACTAATAATATGGTTTTAAAGTGGGCCACAGTATTCGGCATGAATACGTTTCCACGATTCCAAGTCAAGAATCTCAAGTAAGTTTACATGTGATAGCTTATGAGAATTATGAGGACAGTTCTTAAGTCTAGATTTGTATCATCATCGATTTTAGGCCAATAACAAGTCTAACGAGGAAGTGATTTCACTTTGAAACGACACACGGTCACCATCCTCAGGTGGCATCTCAAAATATGGATAGCATAATAGAAAATGGTACGCTTTTAGATACATGATGCTTGACGGTGAAAACATAACGCCCAATTCTAACTTTCAACTCTGGAGCATGGTTGTAGACCGATAAATTTGCTCACTTTGTTGGTATATAAAATTTGATTCCTGGTCAGTTGTAGTGTGTAATTTCACGCTAACCAAGCATTTGTGCAGTCTGTTTATTGACCGTGTCACATCTTAAGCCTTCTTTAGTGTCTAAGAATATCTTTGTTAAGGCTTTGTTAATCGCCTTGATACGAAAATAACAAATTCCCCATTTTGCTCTAGAACCATACCTAACCCTAATGGAGATCCAACTGTAGTGGAAATTGATTTTTAGATTGGTGAAAGTGGTCCGAGGAAGGCCTTACCACTTTCTTAGTACATCGCCTTATCATTATTATCATACAAACTCTCTACTGGAAACCAAGCCAGAAAGTATAAAATTTTCAAAGTAAATGATAAGCCTAGAACAAAATTGAAGGGCACAATTTTATTGTTTAAGTGCTAAGGTAAGAAAGATTAGTTCAGCGAAGAGTTCTCTTTTCGGCGAATTCATTTTCAAAGCTGTACAATCGCAAATATATATATAGTTATTTTTACAGGATGATAATAGTAGTACTGATAATAAACTTGTTTTACATGGTGACAGTGATGTTAAATAAACAAAAGTATTAAAATTTTTATAAAACAAGGAAAGTTTGATAATCGTTTGATTGTTAATGGCTTAAATATTTATCAAAACAAAGATAGGGAAATCGTCATTGGGAAAGGATAGCTCAGCATGATAAGATAAAATGTTGAAATTGAGATTAAATGTAATTGGAATGTTCATAGAAATAAAAACAAACCAGTTGGGGGTAGAAGTTTTAATGGGAAGGTGAAAGGTAAAGCAGATGGCTGTAAACGAAAAAAGGAACAAAGTTTTAATACATTAAGACCATGGTAAAAGAAAAGGTTTTACCAGTCACTTTTGCACACATAATTCTGGTTTTTCCAAGTGTATGGTTATTGCTTCGGCTATGCAAAGGAGCTGCAGTCTGATTGCCTTAGGGAGATTTCTACTTACCTTGTAGATGACTTTGAACGCAGAGTCTGTCTTGATTGAGTGACCTGTGTTCACAAGGTGTTCGATTATAGAACTTCTTACTAAGCCGTTGCCTCCTCTTTTTAGCCACGCCGGACAATGTTCTTGAATCCTTTTGGATAAAGTACGCATCGAACGACCTATATACCTAGCTCCACATGAGCAAGTAAACTGGTAAATGCACAATGAGTTGGTCAGATACGATAATTTATCTTTCAGATTATTGGTGAATAATGATCGGCTGGAGAATGATATTTTCAATGTTGCTGCAGGGAATGTTCTTTTTAAAGAGTCCGAAATTCTCCTCTTTAAGACATATGTGGCTCTATCTCCTTTGAAGTCGATGTTCATGTATAGGGTTTTCTTTTCTACTGCAATTATTTGCGTTTTTGGCGTTCTCGGTCTCATGTTCTTATTAATGAATATCGAAGGATATCCGTTTTTGATAAGTATCTCTTTTAAAAGGCCCAATTCTTCATCTATGACTTCTGGGCTACAGATTCTTCGTATTCTTGAAGCGAGTGTTATTGTTAAGTTTTTTTTTCGGCTGATGGGAACCCAGCTGTGGAAACTTGATAGTTGGCCATTCCACATGGGCTTCCTGTAGATAGATCTTTTTAAAGTACCATCTTGGTTTCTTGTCATTTCCACATCAAGAAAGTGAATATTTTGTTTGTTTTCAACTTCAAGTGTGAATTTTATTGACGGATGACAATTATTAAATGTATTTAGGAGATGACTTAAGTCGCATTGATTGTCACAAATGTTAAAGGTGTCATCCAGGTACCTTTCATATAAATGGAGGTTTTCTATAATCGTTTTGAGTTGGTTGTTTTCTAAACTGGCCATCAAGCAGTCTGCCAGTAATGGACCAAGTGGGGAACCCATTGCTATACCATCCTTCTGTCTACAAATTACGTCGTTGAATATGAACTGTACATTGCAAGTGCAACGTAGTAAAAGTTATTTCAAATAAGCATTCGGTATTCCAATGTTTATCTTATTATTATTTATGTAATCGCATATAAAATTAATGGTCTCTGCATAACGAGACAAGCGCTAACTTGGAATCCTGAATGGAAGCGGAAAAGAGGAAGGCCAAAGAACACATTACGTCGGGAAATAGAAGCAGATATGAAAAAGATGAATAAGAACTGGAAAGAGCTTGAAAGGATTGCCCAGGACAGGGTTGGATGGAGAATGCTGGTGAGCGGCCTATGCTCCTTCACGAGGAGTAACAGGCGTAAGTAAGTAAGTGAGTGGAACATTAGTGAATAATGATTCGACATCCAGAGATAGCATAATTTTGTCACTAACATTCACTTCTTTTATGTGCTCGATAAATTCAAAAGTATCATGTACGGAATGTTTACAAATGCGTTTTCTAACGGGTTCTAAGAGATTTGTCAGCCAGTTTGCTATAGGATAAGGGGATCCTGACATACCAAGAATTGGTCTAAGAGGTAAGTCAGGTTTGTGTATTTTTGGCAGACCGTATAATCGTGGTATTATTGGTGCTGTTGGTTTTATGCGCTCAAAGACCTGTTTGTCGATTAACTGCTCATTTTTCATTCTCTTAAGAACATCAATCAGTTGATTTTCTATACTTTCAGTCTTGTTTTTTTCATTCATTGGTTTAGAGAATTTGGTGTCGTCTGATAATAATGTTGTCATTTTTTCCACATAAATCTTGCGATTCAGCAGCACTAAACCAGCACCTTTATCTGGACGTGTTACAATTAAGTCTTTATTATTTCTAGGTAGTTTTATTTGATTTCTATGTTCTTTCGTTAGAAGACTTTTGCCTGTTACTTTTGTGCTAATATATTGGTTGCAGCTATGGAGAAGAGTAGATTTGAAACGTTGGAATTCTTGATCTGAGATTGGATTAAGACCATTTGTTTGTTTGATTAAGTTTTCGAATCGGACATGTGTGTGGATTTTGTTGATTTTTTTTCATTGTTTTATAAAAAATTTTAATACTTTTGTTTATTTAACCTCACTGTCACCATGTATAACAAGTTTATTATCAGTACTACTATTATCATTCTGTAAAAATAAATATATATATTTGCGATTGTACAGCTTTGAAGATGAATTCGCCGAAAAGAGAACTCTTGGCTGAACTAATCTTTTTTATCTAAGGTATTCTATAAGTGATCGGATTACCCCAGCTGGATGGCGCAACTGAAATTACTGGCCGTTTTCCAACTTCTTTGTCTGTTTAATTCTTCATAGGCCCTCTTTGCCCCATGGAGTCTTTGTACACTCCAAGAAGATGAGCTTTCCCTTTACTTCTAAGTTTAGCACATGAATTTTCATACATCCTACGGCCTTTGGGCAATAAGACCAGACCTCTGATGAAGTTATAATAAAAAGAATAAGTGCATAAACAAACACCAACGTTCAGTAATACAAACTTTTTTAGATCCCAGAAAAGGTGTTATGACACTACGATCCTCTTTCCTCGACCGAGTACAGACTATACCAAGAATGGGTAATTGGTAACCAGTGTTCAAGTGGTTCAAATGGTTGTGGACGGAATAGAAAAAGCTTTCGCCTAACAGGCTTCCGTGTCTAGTAGCAGGGGATCACCAATACCTCCAGGCAGGAACCTAGGTATATCAACGATAAAAGAGAGAAAAAAGAAATTGGTAAATCATAGTAAGATACTATCCTTAGTCCATTAGAAAAGATCAAGTCGCCTCTTAAAGGACTCCTAGGAAGTCGCTTGGACTAGCTCAGCTGGCAGCAAATTCCAGCATTTGACGACTCTTAAGGAGTAGAAGTTGTGCCTGCAGTCCGTTCTACTATGTTGTATCTCTAATTTCTGGGTGTTACTTTTTAGGTTAGTATTGGGACCAAGCTTAAGTAGGTGTTTAAGAGAATATCCAGAAGTGTTAAGGATACTGTAAGCCATTAGAAGGTCACCTCTAAGACGCCTATACTCTAATGGGCAAAGCTCAAGTGACTGGAGGTGCTCTTCATAAGGTTTAAATTTGAGTCCCCGAACTGATTTCGTGGCTTGCCGTTGGATACGCTCCAGAGTGTCCTCATCCTTTTTGAGTGTAGGAGGGAATACTATGTTTCCGTACTCTAAGTGGTGATGAATAAAACTGTTGAAGATTATGTGGAAAGTTCTCCCGTCATACTGACCAAAAATGCGCTTCAATGTTACCAATGCAAGGTTTGCTCGAAAGGAATTTCTGTCACAGTTGGCGTAAGATTTTAAGTCGTAGGGCACCAGAACTCCTGAATCTTTTTCGACTCGGGATACTACTAAACAGGAGTTTCTTAATTTGTAGCCGTAGTCTGCGACATGTCTCAGATGAACTACTCTACACTTTGAAGTGTTATAGTTAAGTCCGTTGTCGTCTGCCCAACTTTGAAGTCGAGTCAGATCCTCCTGAAGTGCCTGTATATCGTCTTGGTTGCGTATCTCTTTCCAAAGTTTCACGTCATCGACAATAAGTCCGACGTGACCTGTTGAG